CTGAGATTAGCGTTAGCCTCAACAAACAAACCCTGTAAAATACTAGTATAGATTAGTATTAATTAATGTTAAGTAATAAATGTATGTAGGAATTCCGGTACAATTGCAACTAAATAATCTAAATTAGTGAGGATGAAGAACTTCAAAGAAGGAAGGGAATAGCGTACAAGTTTAAATGATGGTTTAGAGGCTGAAGGTGACCAGGCCGCTTACAAAAAAGTTCGAGATGGATTGAGTGTAAACAAGAGATAATGAGGGCGCAAACAGTATTGTGAATGAGATTAGAGGCTCCGGGTCTTCGAGGCTGGCGCATTGTACGCTCATGGGCGGAGCGGCAGAACGTCTGCTCACATCAATTATTTATTAGCATTGCCATTGGAATTTTCCTGCCGGCTATGGGAACTAATCGTTGACCTATATTTATGGTCGATCTCATTTTATTTAGGTATACCATACGTATAAATAATAACAAACTTAGAAACTGAGTACCTCTCTTGGTGTGTCTAATTTTTAAATTATTTAGTAGTAATAAGAAAGACATTGTACGTTTGGGCGGATAGCGGACATGATCCTCTTATTTCGCGATCTGGCCCGAATGTAGAGCATCCTTGAGCGAGGCCGATCACGTCACATAATACATGCGCGGGCGCAGACAAACACTATTCGCGACTACCGTTACGCAATCGGCGACTTACGTGGTTTTCTTTCTATTTGGAAAATATTGACGGAGTTCTAGAACGGGAAAAATATTGTAGCTAATAGCTCACATATAAATAATGTGAGCTTAAAAGCCGAAAATGTATATTCAACACCACGTGCTTTTTAATCGTTTATAATATTGAGTCTCATGGCGTATATTACGTAACTTGCTGTTGGGATAAAACATGTTGCCGTTTCGACGTAATTAAATACCAACTACAACTGTGCGGTGAACTTTTATATATTACATTGTTACTCGTAATGAAGTCTGCCTGATTCCAGTTCGATCAACTCGAACATCCCGAAGGTCCCCTCGGCCTAAGCGCGACAAGAGCATCGCGCTCATCCTGTTCGGAGAGAACCGGAATTCGATGCCCTTTAAGGCACATACGAAAGTAATAATTTCCCGCGAACGAGTGAGATATTTGCTTCGTTAATATCCCGGGCTACTTTGTATGCAGGATAGGTGGCTCGGGGCCGGGGCTGTCGTGCAATATCCATGAATACATCAGCCATTTGACGTCACCGCTCCCAGGTGACGTCACATGACCCGAGCCTGTACATGATTAGCATCACTCTGATCTGATGCTGATAAGAAGCAAAACTGACAAATATTCGATTTCACAGTTTCCCTTATTTGAAAATGCTTTAGCAAGGAGAAGCAAAATAAAGTTTCTGTTGCATAATTATAATTAACAGAAGTATGTTATTGTAAATAATCAATGAAGCCGGTTGAAGAACGTTTATGAATATAAAAAGTAAAAGATCCAAAGTTTTGCAATGAGCTTTATAATTATATATATAATTGACCTCTACGACAGCGACTTCGTCCGCGAACAATAGTTATCTTGGGCATCCAAATTTGTTTTTGCAAACCAAATTTAAGCTGCCCACGACATAGGTCGCGCCACGGCGCTCGTAACCTGTCGTTCTTGCAAGTTAATCTTTAAAGATAGACATACAGACATTCCTCTATACATATTTTTTGGGTGGCTTGATCCGTTTTCGCAGCGAACGCATCAGAAATCCACAGAGATGAAAAATTTCCCCCGTTTTGTTCACATTTCCCCTTTGTATCTTCGTTTCTATTAGTCACAGCGCGATTTTTTATAGCCTTTAAAAATAATTGTTAATCCCTTAGTTCCTGAGATTAACGCGTTCAAACTAACAAACAAACTCTTCAGCTTTATATTTTAGTATAGATTTATCCGATTGTTTCAGTTTCTAATGTTTTAAAAACATATTATACATAATTCTACTTAGGTTCCTATAATTATAATGTATGTAATGTAGTCGCCAAATGTCCAACACTCCTGATTAACTATAGAAATTAATTATTACGTGAACAACGCGAAAATTGCGGTCATCGACCTTCGCTGATTCCCGGCTATTACGGCGTGACATCACTTCCGCGTCCCGGTGACGTCATCGTTCATGATCCTGATGCATGCGGCCCTGTGGGATGTAATTCGTTTCCATTTAAGGCGGCGCCGATAAACCTGATGCCGATTGCGTAATGTGTATCCTACATAACCTCAAAGCTTTTGATTGGAAATGTTAAAAATGTCTAAACTAACGCGTGTAATGTAGTGTGATGTAAGTGTAATGTTTTATTTAAATATTACGTTTCTTTAGTTAATTTACTGTTCAAGTTATAAATTTATCTAAACTACAATGATAGTATTTATAATTAGTATGAGAAGTAACATTTAAATTAAGCGTATCTGAAATAAAAATAAACCGAATAATATTCTAATATTCCCTAATGAATCATATTCGCTTATTCGACTCGATTGTCCAACGCAATTGATCTTGGAACATCAGAAGTGGGATAAGTGCATTGCAATGCAGTCGTACCGGTTACGTCATTGCATTGTATGACTAAACGCTACGCCAAATTTGGAGGTGCGTTTTTGCCGGTAATAACGCTTCATTATGCCTGTAATTTTATGTAATTAAGATCGTACATGACTCGACTTTATTATCTTTCGTTCGATATTAATTTGACACTTCGTTATTGGTTATCGTTTGACACCTACAATTAGTAAAAATGACGAATAATAAATCATCAATGACATTCTCAATCGCTGATGTCGATCGATAACCCATCCTAAAAGGAAGTAGGATAGACAATATAGAAAGAGCGCAGATCATTCGGTTAATGTTAAAAATCATCTCTAGACTTTGACAGTCGTATGGACTTCCTTCAAATATTATTACATAACTGTATATATAGCACGTGTAAAGTAAAAAGATATATTGTCTGTATTTTAACAACTACACAATATAGAAAACTCCCGTATTATAAACGATAACTAAAAAAGCACCTATAAAGTAGAACAACGCCTCATGCTCCACAAGGAATGGAATTCTTATAATTCCACATCATTATCTAGCGAAGGAGCGAGGGTGCATTCAAAATGCAATATATTTTAGCTCTAGAATGCAGTTAACGGCATCGGAGCGAGCGAGGGAGACGGAAGACTTGCTCCCGCGGCACAGAGCGAGACGGATGCTGACCTACATCAATAAGTGGACACTCGTTTAGCGCAAGAATGCGCAGTTCAGGGATAGTGCTCAATTTATACGCTGGACCGATATCGGGGCGCAGCGAAACCACAAAGTGGTCTTATTTCATGATATCATATACATATATATTTCATTTCGCTGACATTTATTTACTAGGCAGAGAGCACAGCTTAATGCCTTTGGAATATAAAAAAAAAAAATTTATTTGATTCGCATTTGTGCTTAGCAATGTTTTAATTCCTCTTTATATTTACTACGTCGTAAAGCAACTTTATGAAACTCTAGGTTAATTACATCCTGTTCTATTAATTAATAAGACAATTAATATTTCGAATTACGCAGTCGCGATGTTTACACTTGACCATTCCGGAAAACGGATGTCAGTCTTTGATAAAATATAATGGTCCTTTAAATCTATTCAGACGACTAATAGTCGGCTCAAGACGATATTTTCTTCCGAGATATACTCGTATACGTATAGTTTTGATGACACATATATTTGAAAAATACACTTAAGTTAGCGTTATTCTTGTTCATATTTCGCAACGTCAATTGCTTCGTTAATGCTTAATTTCAGGAGGTAGTTTAGTTTTTTGCATGCGACGGCCGAACGAAGTCAGCGCGCGCGGCGAGACCTTTTCGGGCTCGTGCGTGCCGGTTGTGTTCAGGTTTTAATTATATACAGTGGCTGCGAATTAAGAATAAAAGTTTTATCGCCCGCGTATCGGAGAGACTACCGGTTGTTGTTATAATGGTTTCCGCGAGTCCAGTGCGGCTTGAGGGTAATTTTTCCTCTTATGGACGCCCTTTATTTCCAATCACGATAGTGAATAGGTGTGTATCTAGAATTATTGAGTAATGAACCACTTGGTGGTCCACATTATGCCGTTTTCTCTTGTTGTAATACATGCATAATTATTAACTAAACGAGTCCGTGGGTGTTTCCAAAAATACTGTTACTCTTATCAAAGTAAGGGATTTTTGCCTTTTAATTTTTAATAGTTCGGGATAATAAAGAATGTATGCTTGGAAGGGTATTGAAGTGAGTCTTGTGTTACATTGCACAGTACGCCATATTTTTACGCGTTTTTAATTGATTTGGAACCTAATTGTAAGAACTGCGAATTAGGGAAATAAAAGGCGTTTGTCTGGCTTTGTCTCGAAACGCTTCTTTTCTCTTAATTAATTCCATCGGTTAGACGTCTACATAATATCGTCGGCTCCGACACCGCACGCTATCTTCAATCTCATTTTCTGCGGCGGGAAAGACCCTCTCTCACCGCACGATGCGTGCGTAACGCGGCGTTACTGAAGAGATATATTGCCTCAATAAATTGTTTTCCCGACATTCGCTATTTCCAATATGTTCTAATAGTTATCGCGAGCGTTTGATAAATATGAAGCTGGGCTTTGAAAACTTTGGTGCAAAACAATTCGGTGATAATTCATTCGGCTATAGTATTAGAGGATATTAATATTTATAAAATCTAAAATTAGGATTGATATAAACAGATTTGACAAAATTCAGGGTCAATGGATTTTCAATAAAGCTCCCATTTTTTATTGCAAAATTTTTTTATAACTATTATTCGGATTGCGGCAAAGATCTTGATTTCCACTTCTTTTCAGTAATGGAATTTTGCTACCATATAGTACAGTTATCGTGTTTCCTTAGTTTTTTTACATAGGCATTATCCTGCTGAGTCCGAAATTGCCTTATTGTAGTTGAAACTATATTGTTTTACGCAACATTGTAAATATACTTTTGCGTCATGGTTAAAGCGCGTTCCTCGGGCTGGACCCTTCGCGAGAGGGAGGTGACGCGGGTGATGTCACCGTGCGTGCATCCACGTGGTCGTGACAAGGACAGGTTATGCAGCCTTGACCTGCGCAGTAATTGCTCGGAGCGCCCCCTCGTGCGGTGCCCTCGATCGGAAATTCGGAACTGCTAAAATGGCGCGCAATAACTTCAACGGTATACGTACATTGGCAAACAAACAAGTGAGCACCAGAATACTATATTTCAATTTACATTGTGGGTATAGGCACTTCATTTTTTTTATTGCAAACAGTCATTTTCGTTTGTATTTTTCATGGATTTTCATACATTTGCGTTAATATTATATACACAAAATTAAAAAGTCCTTAAAGAAACATTTTGTCAATATATACATATTATAGTGCTCATTTATAAAAACAAGTTTAATTCGATTCAGCAAAGTTTTTAGTAGTCGATGAGGGACGTTTTAACGTAACTGATAAGACTGACTGAATGTTTAATATTGTTAAATGACTAACATATTGTCAAATTGGCGTTAAGTTTTTATATAAACTTTCTTTTATTTCCAAATACAGTATATTACCAAAAAACAACTCCAGTTGATTAAAGACCAGCGTATTATTTGTGATCAATTTATACTTGATATTATTCCCTAACAATAGACGTTTATTATCGAAAGCGACGCGAAATCGTTACATTTTCTCGTAAATAACTTGACGATTTAGCAATTGGGAGTTTCCACCTGACTGACTCAACAAAGCTGAATGTCTGTTGCTGTTGGCGACCTAGTAAACAACGACAACAGTTGGGTTGTCGTTGTTGGGCCCTAATGTTTTTTATCTGATTTATTGAAGACGTTGTAAAGGTTCTATGTCGTACAATCTGAGCATCTTTGAAACACGATGGGTGTAAATTATTGGTCTAACTTAGGCCATGTTTATAAAGTACTTAATTAAGAGCTCTATTTTTCTATGTGTAGTTGGGTTATAAAATCTATTACTGAACTACATAGCAAAAGTTGTTAAATATTAAACAAAGGTTTTCTGTTTAAGCAAAAATCTCGATTAATATAGTTCATTTTTAATCTAAGGTCGGACCCCAAATCGTTCGAGTCCACACCTGTACGAAGTTATTGGGTAATTTAGCAAAATTTCTAGCGGAGTTTCGTGAGCTAATACGAAAATGATAAAATTTCGAACGTGGCTAATACTTTGGAAATTGTTGTAATTTATTTAAAATCGAAACGAGAATACAATGCCTACTGCCTACGTATTTCCCAGCCCGCTCGTTCCAGTCTTCGTACAAAGGTTTGTTCTTCACGTTATTAATTACTGTTTTCCATGCGTAATTACTGAGTGAGGCGCCACAACAAAGCGGTAAGATTAGATTTAGCGTTAATTAGAGATCGTAATTAAGAGCAAATGTAATGCCCCCATATGAACACAATTGCATTAGCGATCACAGAGTATTTCTGGGTACTAAGACACACCGTCCGTGATACATTACTTAGGATCCAAATTTCGAAGTCACGATGATGATTGACTAGTTTTTTAAGGTTTTAAAAATAAATAATGAACTTTTTTTTATATGATAGATGTCCCGGTCACATGGTCCAGTAGTGCACGCAGCGCGACTTTGCATTGCGAGGTAGTGGATTGGGCGCGCGCGCAGCCCCGTAGACCTCCGCCCCCGCTCGACGATGACCACTCGCGCCCGAAGCCCTATCTGTGGACCAGGGCTCGGGATGAGATCAGCTCGAAACGGTGAGGAATTAAGCTTGTAGTGATATAATTCTTCTACTCCTAAACTTAAAACCATTGAAATGGACCTTCACGAAAATTATTAACTTATTTCTAATTTAAACAGTATATTACTTTGCTTCAAAATGTTTAGTAGTACTTTGATTGGCAGAGTGTCGTGGAACGGCACCCTGGAGGTGGCCCGCAAGGGCGGTGACGGCGAAGACTTGTACCAGTGCGGAGTGAAGCACCACGGGGCCGTAGTCCTCGGCTATCCCATTAATCTTAGGTTCCCATGTGAGTTGTTTTATTCTATTTTATTCCATGATTAATTTCAGTCAGATTTTAAAAATGTTACTTCTATACACTACCACTTAGGTACGTAGCGTAAACCGTAGGTGCAGCGGAAACTATCAAAAGGTAATTACGTTAAAATTGTTTTTTTTTTGTCTTTGTTTAGAGAAAAAATCCATTATGATTGTCATTAATACATCTTTAAATACTACCTATAATTCTTAAAAACAACAGTGTCAGTAGGTATTAACTATGTAATTTCCGTTTTTGTTATAATCTGTGTAAATACGACTGAATACGTTACTACGAAACACGGGGCGTTGAATATGAGGTAGGTACAATTAATTCACTGTCAATGTTGTTCATATATAAGAACTATAACTTTGTTTAAGCTATAGACTGACGAGGGTAAGCACTAGTATGTGTCCGTTCGTCTAAACCAGTGTCTCGCAAACTTTTTTAGTCTGCAGCACGCTAACTGATGATTTTTTTTTCCGCGGCACACTAAGCTAAATTACATTATTAAATACGTTGAGTGGGGGGAAAAACCACGCCCAGTGCTTTTCTAACCAATTCGCCCTCGCTTGTGCATCTTGTTGTTACGAGTTATACGAGTATGTGCGTTCTGGGTTATTTAGTTAAAGTTAAATTATTACTTTTTAGGTAATTTTATAGTTATCAGAAATTGGTTTATAGATTAATCTCAGAATATCTAGTGCAACTTGGAAAATCTTTTGCGGCACACTTAACATTCTCCCGCGGCACACCAGTGTGCCGCGGCACACAGTTTGCGAGACACTGGTCTAAAACTAGTAAAACAGTTGAATCTTCAATCGGTTAATCACAAGATAGGTCAATAAAGGCAGTAGTAACATGAAAAAGAACATTTTTCTTGACTCGAATTGAGCGCAATCCCTCCTGAGTTATATTAACAAAGTTGATCCGCTAAGCAGTTCCAGTACTCCATCCCGAGCGGGCCATTCATCACTCGTGCTTGACGTAAAGTATATAAACCTTTTCATAACCGAGAAGTTGGCTTTAGGGAACGTATTACTCGGAAGGTGTGGGTGGGAGTAAATATGCTAGATTGCTAGCTATTGATGAAATCCTGAAGATTTTCTGTATTTTTCCATATTAACTTTGATTGTACTAAAAAATTGGACTTCATTTTTATAATTATCATGCCAAGTACGACTACCGTATAACTTCTTACCAAATCTATAAATTTATTTAATTAAAAATAGAACTGAAAAATCTTTCTTAAAACATTTGAAATACAAACATAATTAAAAAAGAGATCGCCTAAGATACCGACATTTCCACCAGTTATTAATAAAATCTGATAAAACTAGAACAACATAAAATCATTTATTTATCTAGATAACATCCAACAACAATTGAATGAACTGTGTAAACATTGGTCATGTCTCACCATCTGTAGAATTCTCAACCGTATTTCTGACCGACACGAATTCGAAACTAGTTACGAGATCACAAAACTGTTAAGAGTAAGAACAACAAATTTTAGGACCCAACCGAGTAGACGGGACCCTCGTCTCTTTAGACGAACGCAAATAGGCTTAAAATTGTGATTCAACTTAAATTGAGATCGGAATTACGTTGTATTCAACTTCTGTCTGATTTACGTTGTGGGTGTCTTGAAATATTAGGAGATCTAATGACCCTAGTCTGATTGTTTCGGTGGACTGTCCCCACTACTCTTAATGGCAGACCCTTAGGGCTCTGAGCCTAGATTTAAATAACTAAGAAGGTTTCCTCGAACTTGAATTAGTAGTTGTTTGAAGCATCCGAAACGTCGGGCTGTAGTTAAATATAATTTTCAAAAACAAAAACAAATATATATCGCGTTTTAAACCGTTAAAGTGTTTTATTTGAACATAAGAGATGTTGAAAAAATATGACACCTCTCCACTTTCAGAATGCATATTTCATATTCGCCCTGACCTTTCATCATAACTCCCTCTTCTCAGAAACAGTGATTCAATAAGCGTTTCCGATAACACTGATCTCGGCTTTCTCGTCAATAATTGCGTTCTCGGTACGTCGTGGACGTCGACACTTGACAGGTCGATCGCTGATTGAAGTCGCTCTAACTAACCTAAATTAAACAACGCTCCGACGTTAGACCAGCGTCGCCTGCTATTTCAAATATGCTGCTAAAAAGTATACGATGTTAATATCGCTGGTCTTACAAAATGGAGGAATTGCTTTCTCGCTCGGCTGTCGAAACTGAAAAAGGCTACTTGAGATTTCGCCATCCTGGTTTGTAGGCATCATTAGGAGTTCTAGAGCATTCTTCGACTGTATGTTAAATGATCGCGAAACCTTACAAGTTATTAATTTAAACGACACAATTAATTCATCTAAGTACATGAACATATAGATTTTTATAGTTTCTTGTAGAGCAGAAGCATTACAATTCTTTCTTTTTTATGTTGGCTTGCCTGGAAGAGATCGATTAACGATAAGGCTGCCTGTTAAACATTTTCTCGATTATATTTTTTTTCCCGTCTTTATGCATTAAAACGTTAATGAATATATAAATGATCAAACAGTGCTTCTTACTGCGTAGAATTTTGATTGGCATAGGCAATGGATTACATACTATTGAATAATTAAATTCGTAACTGAGCCATATAAAGTTATATATGCAGTCAAAATCTACAGATGATCTATTCATAAAACTACACCACAGCCGTGAGCGAAAAACGCTAGGATTTTAATAAATTCGTCTTTATTCTGTTCACGCGGTTAGCATTGAGAGGGTTTGAAAAATGAAAAGATACTAATAACGGCGTGAATAGGACTCCACGACAAAGGCTCGCTGAACAAAGCCGACGCCGGAGAAATAACTTGTATAACAAAGCTTCGCAAGGAGACTATTAAAAATTTCTACTAGAAGCTTTTTCATGTTGGATTTAGACCACCCTATAGTTGGGGAAACTGTGCGCTAAAACATTAATATTCTGCTTCTTAAAGTACGTTCATCGATAGGCTTAGCTAACTTTTAGTGCGTTGCGTTGAGCGCGAGAGGTCTTAGGTTCGATAGTTTTAAGGCAGGACACACACGTTTGATGAGTACCTGTCTAAAATAAAAAACTCGTGCCTCATTTTAAAATAGGTAGTTGGTTATAAGGCTGTTACACAAGGTTTGAATTAAATTTGATCTATTTTGAAAGCATTTGTATACGACACCAAAGTAAGCAGAATGAGAAATAAAACAAGAGCAGTAATTCGAATCGGCGTAATTCAAAAGCAATAAGGCTTCTAACTCATCGGATTATCTTGTTGAGTAACTTCTTAAGACGTTAGCGTGATGATATAAATATTGTAATTGAAGTTTCGCGAACAATTTTCCCAACTTTTGCGACACAAAGGCTTGCTTCTGTTTTAAATCGGAGATTAATTAAAAATCTTACCTTCTATAGGCGGCGCATTTTCTAAGTTAAGTACAAAACTATCGCAATGAAAACATCATTTAATGTTATACCCATATGAAATGCAAGTTAATATTTTCTTAGGATTTGTTTAAACTCGGGACTCCGTTCTGAAATAACACCGAGCTACTTTCTTATTCAAAAAGAAGTTAGTGTTATCTCTGTGAACATTCGTAAGTTCTTTCTGTCTAGATTTTCCTTGGCCCGAGTGATCCTAAACAAATACGCTAAGCCCAATTATTCTCGTAATCCGCTGTAACGAGAGTAATTATTCAAACACGTTAAGATAAGAGCAGTGTTTTCAGAAATATTTCTGATATTTTAATAACATATTCTAAAGACACAAAGAACAACAACAACATATGGCCTAACTTTATGATATTCTTAGACATAATTTGAATTCCACGAACCTAGTTAAACCTGTGTTTAAAAACTATTAATTTCAATCAATACTAAGATATCAATAAACGAATCAAAGCTCGTAGTTTTGGACATATTTCAACATTATACAATTTTATTACTTATACTAGATGCTTTTAATTACATTAAAATGAATAGTTATTCCTTTTTTAGCATTTTATGATAGTGCTCTGTCCTTGTTGTATGAAATAATACTTTGTTAACAGTAGGAAACGCGTTCCATAAAAAATATATAAAGAAAAGCTATTTTAACTCGCACAATACTTGACATGCTAGATAAATTACATTGCTCCATACTATAATGCCCAAATGACTATATTATCCTTGTTAAAAATGCTGACTAGATCCTGAAACGACTGCCCTCCACCCTCTTGCATTAAAGTGACGAATCATCTCTGATTGAATACTCAATTGTTGTTACCCTCAAATATCGCCCGTCAACCCATCTTCCCTTTCCTTTGATTATGACTTCTGCATAATGAGTTTTCTATTTATGTGTTGATCTTGAGCTCGCAACGTGTTTGAATTCTCAATTTCTTCGGTGAAATCGAATCGCGATGAATTTACTTTGTTGCTATACAACCAATGATATTTATAGATTAAGTGATTTTTCTGGAAAAATTTAATACTTTGGTTGGAGGGTAAAGATATTCGCCGATAAAACGGTTTGTATTTCCTTTCATAGTTATGGAGAAGCAGTTTTCGGCACAACCTGAGGATGTGGAAGCTCGCATTGGCCAACCTCTCGTAGTTCCCTGCAGGATTGCTTCTGGACCTGCCGCTTCCATAAATTGGCTTAAGAGTGGAGAAAGCATAAAAAATAATAATAGGTAAGAAATATCTTACAACATAACAACACTAATAAGACTATTGATTCATATCCTATCTTACTATGCTTAACATATAATTGTATAGTGTTTTTCGTTAAATAAACCGAGGAACTTTGTGAAAAATTCGTGAAAGGCTTACAAAATTCATAAACCACAAACTGTTCCATATTCGTAGCGTATTCGTAGCTCGTAGAGCTTTCGTAGCGGTGAGCTCAGATTGGTACAAAGAGCGTAGCTATAGGAGTGTCATACTATGTTTTATTTATGTGTAAATAATAAAATGTAATTTTTTTAAACATGAAGAAAAATTATTCTAGAAAGATCGATATTTTATTTTTTAGCAATTTTCTGCGAGATATTTATATAAGAGCGAGTATATTTAGAATACAAGAATTGGCGAGGTTTCTTAAATACGTTTTATTTAGTGTTCAGACGCTTTGAAGCCATTCTATTTGTAGTTTATCGTGAATTAAGACGATGTTATTTATGTCTCTACCTTGTAAGTAAATAATTCAAATTAGATTCGTACTATTCCTTTGAGTACTCGAAGAATAAGCTTGTACTAAACTTAAGTTTGAAACTGTCTCAGAATATATTATATATTGTGGAAATGAGCAATTTTAATTAAGTTTATATTTTTATAAAGCTAAAAAACTTTTCATATAAAATATGTTGAAAATGAATATGATAAGTGTATATATATTAAACTCATAACTGTATAACTCATTTACAAACACGTATTAGTTATATGGATTAGTTTTTATTTAGAATTTCATTATTATTGTAATATATATATACATTGTTGTTATTATAATTGGCATAAAAGTGTTGAAATTCTATTGTTTCAGATATTTTATCTTACAAAATGAACTACTTATTGTTGATGTTAAAAAAGAAGATGCAGGAGTATATAGGTATGTTTGTGTTATATGTATTATATTAATAATAAATGATTTATACTTTTAGTTATTTTCTTTTGTATTTTGTTTATCAGAACGAGCTTTTTTAAATATTCAATAATAATAAGGTTTTATTAAACCTAAAACTTATTTATAATATGGAGTTGTTTTTTGGGTAAATTATTTATTACAATAATTACCGGATGAATTAAAATATATTTATTTATTTATTTTAAGCCGACAAATTTTAACCTTTTATTATAAGTCAGCTAATAAAGTGTTGTTTGTAAAGATGCATAGCGTCGAACTACGTGTTGAATAAGAGTAAGGCGAGTCGAGATGGCGTCGTGACGGTGGTGCCTTCCGCCGAGAGCAGCTTGTCCCTGTTGTCGCTGCAGCACGAGGAGGTCACGGCGCCTCGAGGAGGGAATCTCATCCTACCTTGCCCGGTACTCGGCTGGCCGAGACCCAAGGTGACTTATTTGTGTTCTGCTTTTTAGGTTTAGATTTTTTTCAGGTTCTGGTTGCTGGAGTAATAAACGGTACTGTTTTAGTACTAATATAATAGAGCCTTTCTAAATGCTATTTTAGAAGAAACCAAAAATGTGCATATTATTAAAAGATGGCAAATACTGCCAAATCCTTGAATCTTTTTGTAATTGTAATAAATTTCACTGTTTTGATGCTTACGTTATTTTATTTAACAAGTAGAACCTCTATTAGTATTTGTTAAATAATATTAAGTAAATAATAATGGATTTAGCTTTAATGTTTAGTTAAATTGTAAAAAAAAAAAATCATGCTCATTCACAGTTAATATGGGAGTTGACACCTCACGAAGCCGGTTCTCCAACCAGTGAGCTGGAGAGTAGTGAGGAAGTTTTGCTACTTAGAAACCTGGGACCCGATCAGGTTGGCCTCTACACTTGCTCCGTTGAGGGAAGGAGTGATCTTGTTAAGGTAGGTAGACATTTTAAAATGGCCACCGATGATAAAATAAGTTCCGCAGTTTTAATCGTTCTTATAAAAGTATAGTTCAACTATATGGATCTCTGTACGGTACTGTAGAAAGAATCTACATAAATATGACATATTTTTACACTGGATTTTCGGGTTCAGCGATGTCTCGTAAATATTGTATCGAAAAATATCAGCTACACGTGGATAAGACTCCAAATCAGTTTGTGTTAGCACATTTCGGAGATGAAAATGTAATTATGTAAATTGTTTTACATTTACATAAACGGAGATGAACAGGATGAAACAATTATTGCGTTAGGTTTTCTTTTGCGGTCCAAGACAAGGGAAGATGCGGATCAACATACATGTAAGACTTCGTAAAGTACACCCTTGTCTCGCAAAGACTTGCACGAATCTTTACGTGGAATCCTATATGAGTAAAAAAAGTTCACGTCACTAAACCTAATCACGATCGCTGCTGATGTAATTTTTAATCGTAGACGAAGTGGCGGACTGAAGTTTTTTAACTACAGACTAGTGTTTTAATAACAGAGAAACATGTCATTTGGTTGCATAGACTAAGGATTTTAATGTGTGTTTTATGGATTGTTTATGTACAACATAAAGCGCGAATTTAATAACAGAAACTTCAATCGGATGCGCTGAATTTCTATAGTCATACTAAAAATTAATTGAAGCTAATTTTGAAATTAAAAACAACATATTTGCCATTTGAACAACACAGAATAATTGTGATATTTACAATGCGATCCGCTTCGCTCATGCCTCGCGCCACCGCCTCGCCTCCGGGCGGTGTTGTTGCTCAAGGAAGTCTATCTGATTTATAACGGTTATAATATATTACGTTACACGTGTCAGTGAGCTGTGGCCGATGTTCTCAGATTACCAACACTCTAGGGAGGACTTGTTCTCTACTGAGCCCTCTGGACTCGGTCTAAATATTGTACGAGTGATAGTTTGATTAATAGCTTAAGATAATGATAAGTACTTTCAGTTATTGTTATTTTGGGAACAATGCAAAGTTTTTCCCGGGCCCTGGCCAAAAGAGAAACAAATATTTCAGAATCTTGGGAATGGTAGCTTAATATAAAAGCTACTTACTTTGTTTGAATTTACTAAATGGAACAGATTAAACGCCTTTAGTGAGGTAAAAAAGTTGACGAGAAATATCACCAATAATTCGGTCAATCTTGCCAATTTTCCAGAACTTCAATGTGTCGTACACTGAAGCTGTGAACATAACCCACCCGCCGCTCTCGAAAGAAGTAAAACGAGCGAGCACCGTTCGGTTCAATTGCACCGCGACGGGGACTCCCAAACCCAAGATCACCTGGTACAAGGATGGGAAGCCTCTAATGTTAGCCGTGAGGGTAAGTACATTAGGCTATCATTAAAAAGAGTATCAAAACTTAATCTTATAAATGAGATGTAATATTACATTCGTGAATCTCTAAAAAATAACAATTGGACACAAACATTGAACAAAGTAAAATCGATCAGTGGCGGACACAGAAATATGTTCGCCCCATGCCACGCAACTAAACAACTTTATAATTTTGTATTATTTTTAGATCAATCTACGAACATCCGCCGATCGCGAACGCATCGAGTTGGTAATAAGCGGTGTTACTTCGGATGATGCAGGTAGTTTAACTTGCATAAGTTAATAATCAAACCATTTCACATATGGTTTGGCATATTTGAAACACTAAGCAAAATTAACTCTTCTTGAAGTTCGAACAAGAACAATGCAATAAAGTTAATGTACTTACTTAAAACTACAATTTATACCAATGCCCGTTAATGGCGCTAATATTAGTATTCGTATATGAACGTTTGAAAATTTTCCGTTCTTTCAGGTGTGTACCAGTGTTTTGCGTCCAACGGACTGTCAACGGCATCCCAGTGGGCGGAGCTGACGGTGACGGGTCCGGGGGCGGCCGCCCCGGACTCCGTGCGCTGCGCTCCCTCCGGACCCAACTCCATAGCGCTGAGCTGGAACCACGAGTCGAACAGGGTCTTCGCGTACTCCGTTGATGTCGCGCTAAGAGGTAAGACGATTTCTACTAAAACATTGTCGTTGTAGTAGTATGTTCAATAAAACATTATTATCTTCTTATTATTATGTATGATACAAATATAAAATAAACTGTACCTTGACTAAACAACTTGGAACCAAGTTATTCTTATGTTATATGTAAGATTACTAAGAAACCCTGATTTTATAAGACAAGCTTCTTATATGTTATATTAAATGAGAGTTAAACGTTGCACATAAACAGATAATTCAGGCGCCGGAAATACGGGCCAACCGAACATGAACACAGAAGAGACTTTCAGTGTGGAGAAGGCTCTCACGCCGTACCAGTTCCAAGTGAGGGCGTACCTCCGCCTTCCGGGCAATAAGACCGTCGCCAGCGACATGTCCGAGAGCGTCGTATGTCAGGGACAAGGGGGGTGAGTTGGTTCTTTACTTTATCATCTAAAATTAAGTTTTTGTTTCAAATACGTTATGCCTTTACTTCTTACTGGATTGTTTATAATAAAATATAATTAGAACATATAGAATATTGGAAAATAGATAAGCAGTTTAGAATTCGATTCAGCCGTTCGGTGTCCACTGCTGGACATAGGCCTCCCCCATAGACTTCCAGTACGACCGGTCGTTCGCTAGTTGTCATCCAGCGTTTCCCTGCTACCTTGACCAGGTCGTCAGTCCACCTGGTGGGAGGTCGTCCAGGTTTTCGACGTCCGGTACGAGGTATCCACTACAGAACCTTTTTGCTCCCGCGATGAGCGATGTGCCCAGCCCACTGCCACTTCAGCTTGCCAATTCGATGGGCTATGTCCGTGACTTTAGTTCTTTTACGGATCTCCTCATTCCTGATTCGATCAGGCAGGGTAACTCCGAGCATAGTCCTTTCCATCGCACGCTAAGCGACGCGTAATCTGTGCACCATGCCCTCGGTAGGAGACCATGTTTCGGTACCGTACGTCATCACTGGTAACACACTGCTGGAACACGTTAGTTTTAAGGCACTGAGGTGAGGTATACGGGATGAAAAGAGTTTGTCTAGTTTCCCGAACGCTGCCCAGCCGAGTCGGATTCGACGATTGACCGTTTTCTCGAAATTGGATCTACCTAATTGTATAACTTGACCCAGGTAGACGTATTCGTCAACAACTTCGAGTATAGTGCTTCCAATATATACAGAGGTAGGCACTACATGGGCGTTCGACATTATTTTTGTCTTGTCCATGTTCATACTCAGGCCTACCTGCTTGGCCATGACTGTGCTATGATCACAATATCGTCGGCAAAACGCAGATGGGTGAGGTACTCGCCGTTAATGTTGATGCCTAGTCCTTTCCATTCTTGGAGCTTGAAAGCGTCTTCCAGAGCAGCGGTAAAAAGTTTTGGTGAGACAACATCACCTTGCCGAACACCGAGCTGCACTGGGATGGCCTTCGTACACCGATCTTGAACGCGGACTGATATATTGGCGTTCTTTTACAAGCACCTCGACGTATCGATAGTCGATGCGACACCTCTGGAGAGATTTAAACACGGCCCAGGTCTCGATCGAATCAAAGGCCTTTTCATAGTCCACAAACGCTAAGCATAGTGGCAGGTAATACTCTTCGGTTTTATAATAATAATAAAAATAAATGTAATTACAATAAAAAAAATAATAATAAAAGTAAAATAATAATACTACGACAAGATTAAATTAAATTTTGTTTAAAATGATGCCAAAAGGGACTTACGTCGTTTTATGTATCATCTGCCGCACTATGTGGTCCATGGTGTGGCGTCGAGCTATCATAGAGCCTACGTTCGAGACGATTCGTGATGACCCTAGAAAACAGCTTGTAGACATGGCTCAGAAGCGAGATCGGTCTGTAGTTCTTCAGGAGGGATTTGTCACCTTTTTTGAAGAACAGGACCACTACGCTTCTGCTCCATGCCTCCGTCGTTGTGCCCTTCGAGCAAGGTGGAGGTAAAAGCCTCTAAAGCAATCTGAGAACTGGTGTACCGCCAGCTCTCAGTAGCTCCGAGGTGATTCCATCCTCACCCGGTGCCTTATTGTTCTTAAGCTGTTTTAGGGCCATCCTAATCTCGTATAGGCTGATGTCCGGGATGTCTTCGGTGTAGTGTCAGGTAAGGTTGGCTCCGGGGGCTGTCAGCGCGCTCAGGACGGGCTTAGCGACCGACGAGTTCTTGAGATGGGACCTAAAGTAATTTGAGCCCACCGCATGGATAGTTTTTACAAGCCCATCCTTAAGCTCGTCCACTGACGCGCAGTTTTTCTAGGCATGTGAAGCGATTGCGTAATTCGAGTTGAAAGTTCTCGGGATCATTGTCTTGGGTACGAGACGGTCTGAGGGTAGACTTCTCGGCTTTGATATCTAATTCATTCTGAATTAGATTTCAAAGCCGATTTGATACCATGCGATGATCACTTCCGGTTTTCACTTTGTGAAAACTGAGACTTCTTTGAATATATGTCTCTTAGTGGACATGATGAAGTCAATCTCATTTTTTGTCTTTCTATCGGGGCTCATCCAGGTCCACTTCCTTTGCGGCGGGTTTTAGTAGAAGGAATTCATCATATAAAGAAAGACCTTCCTTCTTCAAAAATTCGGCCAGCCTCTGTCCAGGATTTCTCTGCCCATAGCCAAAGGTCAACTCATCTTCGCCTCTCTTCCCTAACTTAGAATGATGTTCATTTAACATAGGTATCATATTTTATTAAGAAAATCTACAAATGACACTCAAAATAATTATCAATTTCTGACATTAACACTCATCTATTTTTGTTAAATATTACAGTACCGATACAGCTACTCAAGATGGAGAACGGAGAAGTGCTGGTCACGTGGAGACAGTTCGCCAAAGAAAACCCTGGCGTGATGCAGTGGATCCTTCAATACTGCACAGACTATATGCGACTGAACACCGTTCGAAATGTCACCTTGGACAACAACGTTCATAATTATACACTTAATGGTAAATTTCCTGACATATTCATTTCATTATAACGCAACTTTTTGGATTTATATTGCCGATACGTAGGTTCATTTAGACATAGTCTAAGTCTACAGAGATCTCCTAATTTCTCCCGTTTATAAAAATATTTGCCTCTACAATCTACTTCTAAACCACTAAAATATTTGTTTATTTCTAACAGGGGAAACGCCTCTGTATATCCGAGTTCTCGGATCCCGGACAACAGAGTGGCTGCCGCAGAACCTGACCCTGGTGCCGTGGACTTCCACCGAGCTAGCCGTCACCGACCTCGACGAAGGGTGAGGTTCTGGTCTCCAAAACTGGATACATTACAAGTTGCTTGTCATATTTAAAATCTCAGGGCTGACGGCAGTTACTTTGATGTTGCAGAGAAGTAATCCCAAATCCTCACGAGCTACAACTCGTCGAGGTACAGGAAGAAAGTTTTACGATGAGCTGGCTCTGTGAGAACGCTCAGCGGTATACCTTCCTCGTGTGCGTTAGGAGGATGGACAGGAGCGAAGAATGTCTTGAGAGGTGAAATCATTATGTATTGTATTTATATAGTTGACTACAGACAACACACTCTTGTTAAGAGTAGTTTTTGCTTCCGGCTCACTATTTTAATATGGCTCTCACGAACTTATACAGTTTGGGTACCAATACAACCGTACACAATTTGGATGCTGGTAGTGAGTACGAGGTGCGAGTGCAAGCAAGAGTCCCAGGAAGAGCCCTCGGAGGAGCTTTTACGGAACCCTATCACGTGATGACCGTCTCGAGAGGTAGTTGCCATAAACACGTTAAAATTCCTTTCGGTGTACTGTTATTTATCTCATATTTTTATATACGAGTAGCATGGACTTTGTAGAGACCCACACAATCAAATTTCGGTAAAGCCTACCGATAAACTTATACGTTCAAAATAAACAAAAATACCCCCTCAATGATTTTAAAAAATTATCGGAATTTCGACTATTTTGTCTTAGCTTGCAAATATTTGAAGTGCTTATACTGTATGTATTTATTTGTGTAGTGTCATTTATATCAAATAAATATATGAGAGAGTTTGTCAATATAAATTATAAAATATGTGCAGGTGCGCATAGATTCAAGAACCTGACGTACGAGTACGTGAACGCAAGCGCAGTGCGTATATCCTGGAGCGGGGACGCAGACAACTATACGGTGCGGTACAGCTCGCTGCTCAAACTGCCCGTCGAGAGATGGGCAGCCCTCACTAGTCGAGGGAATACTGTGCTGGTAAACTATTGTATTTTTTATCTAATAGATTATTGAGATCTCTTCTTATATATTTTTTAAGGACAAAGTTATTTTATTTTAAGATTTTTTTTAGCATTGAAAACGCGCAAGATTAAGCTGGTAAATAAAGGATTTTTCATGTCCGCGCCATATACTTCAATAATTTTAAACCTTTAATTGTGCTCCTCTATTTTCCAGATCAACGGTATTGAACCAACAAACCACACGTTCGTGATGGTGTCGGGGTATTCCCCGGTCGCGCACAGCCCCATTCTCAATGTTCCGCCACAGCTGACGTATCTTCGTGAGTTATTACGTAGACATGTAACATTTTTTTACTATAATTAAGACTAAGTGTTACATCCGCCAATACCGTTGCTTTGATATTATAATAGAGAACCATTTTGCTATTACTAAAGTTGGAGTGTTCACAAATTTGACGTGTAACTAATTTAATATAACTTATTCTATATATATATTTGCTCAATTTGAAACGCCTACTGTGTGAATGGTCAGAGTGGATCTAATTATGCCGCTCGATAAGATTGAAATTGAATGCTAACGTTACGTTTCAGAATCGAAGGACATAAAGTACGCGTACACAAGCAACGGGGTGCGCGTGTCGTGGAGGGGCGAGGGGCTGCGCGTGATTCTCTTCACGCAGAACATCACGCAACCGCTCGACACTTGGCGGGCTGTTAACGTTACGGATTCTAACGTTGAGGTAAAGTAACAAGTGTTTTTACATTTTGCTGCATCCGGCTAAGACAGAGACTTGCATGACCAAATTACACAAAATCATGTTACTCCATTTGCCAACATGTTTATATAGTTTTATACATGCGCCTCTCGCGCAGTGTAAGTGCCATCATGTGGATTCATATGTGTTTTTTTTTAGGTTTAATTTGTATTAATTACGAGGTGAACTCTAATACAGCTGTCTAATAAACCATATTGATTATTCCAGTTGGATGAACTAGATCCTCAACTTCCTATCTTCGTGATAGTGTCTGCAGCTGGTGTCGGTGCCCGCAGTCAGGTTCTCAACATACCGCCCCGACCAGCTGACGCCTATGGATATCAATTAGGTAAATAATCTCTTAGAAGTGCCACTGAGCCCGTTATTTATTGTTGTTTTTGTACTTTAACATCGCTAAAAGTTGATCCAATGCTTGAATTTTAGATGCCAAAATATCTGTCGCATATTATAAATTACCAAAATAACATCCTTTTAATAGTATTTGTATATTAAATATTAACATAGATTTTTGTATCACTATGTCAAACATTACTAATCATCGCAAGTCTAAAAATGCATATTTGATTGTAATTTCACTGTTTCATATGGATTAACGACTAACTAATAATTTTATTAATGTTGTTTGTTCCGTGTTCTCGTTAGAAAAAATCCAAACGAATGCCTTGCATTAAGTAAAAGTTTCCTCTAAATTTAAATTTATTCTGTGAAATAGGTAATCATGGCCTAGTCTTTAAAGTAATGTCACATCGTCTAAAACATGTCGTGAACTGTAAATTATTGTTGGCAGGCATCGGTTTGGGCGTTGGTTTTTGCATCCTTTGCGTGTTGACAGCCATTTTTATTTGTATCTGGAGGAAACGGAAAATGGCCAGAAATCGTTCACCGAGCCGGTGAGTCTATTCGTATATTTTATTTACAAAATGAAGCTGTAAACCCCATATATTACATACTTGATGCTTAAAATTTAAATTTTCAGAAGTCAACGACCGGGAGCAACGCGCGGCGCCGCTCCGGAAGAATCAGAAATGAGGGTAAAACAATTTTCTTATTCTATTCTTATTCTCAATAAGAATTTATTTTTTATTATTATTAATGCCTCTTTATTAAATTAATTTTGTTACACTTGTTTAGTTTCACACTTACAATTTCAACAAACTATACGCGTTCTTTACTGATAAGACTAAAAATATGTGAAGATGTTATGACGTATGCAGGTGGTGGGCGGGGCCAGCGCAGTAAGTGGAGCCAACGCAGCGGGTGCGCACGCGCGTCACAACGGGCTTGAGCCGCTGCTCAACGGGCACGTCCACATTATCGATAATCCGGCGGTAAGTTACTAAATTTAATTGTTCTACGATCACAATGTGGTTTACTGAGTCATATGTTTATTAGAATTGCCATCGCAACTTTTCTAGGTTATTTTTTTTTTTTGCTAAAATAAACTGCATCATAAGATCGTTACGATGATTTTTCAATTTCAGTCGAAGACACCGAACGGCAAGATAAAGAAAGGCCGGCGCTATGACCCGTCGGACGCTTTCGATCTGTCGCGCCAGGAGCCCGACACGACTATGGAGACGACGCTGGAGTCCACCCGCTACAGCCTCCTCGACACCTCCCGTCCGCCAGACCTCGACTTCTCCAGAACCTCACGCGACTTGAGCGCGAACAACTCCTTCAACAAGCTCCCCGACGATAATATGAACTCTGAGCTGACCCGCAGCACAGAGTTCCAGCTAGACAACAGCAAAATCCAACCTACCCTCCAGCCGAACGGTTGAAACGAGACGACCGTCCGCTTGTACAGAACTACATAGGGGTAGGCGACCCCCCTCCGCCGGAGTCCGGCTTTAATGATAGGAGATTTTGTACAGATGATTTTTTTGAGGCTCAGTTTCGCGAGGATAGCCGCCCGTGTTTTGTTCCTATTTAGTTCGAAAGGCTGATTCGGTGGTACGGGCGCGTACGCGGACAATAACGAATCGCGCGTTCGGTTTTATGAATAAGTGCCTCCGACACGTTAGTGCAACTTGAACGTACAAAATATAGACCAAAATAAGATCCAAACACCAACTGACATGTACATATTTATTGAATATTTATTTCTCCTTAAGCCTAAGAAGCTACAGTTACCCGCACTACATTCCACTATGTATTACGTTATACGATATAGTATATTTGACGCACATCCGTTTACGAACACAAATTAATTAGATAGAGTAATATAAAGTTATATTATAAATCGATATTGCAACGAACTACTGATATTTTAAGTGACATAGTTTAATGAATCGTTGAAGTTGACGTTGATGAATTGTTGGGAGGCTGGTATTTGTGGCCCTCCGCACATTCCGCATCCACCCGAACCGACCGCGTCTCCACCGCAGATACCGGTCCCCATCCCAAATCTATATTGAATCTCCCTACAGTTCGTCGTTTGTAATTCCATATCACAATGATAATCTACCTCATTTACTCGGTTATAAGGTATTCGTTAAGTTGGCCCATCGATATTCGGCAAGACATTATTTATTTCATAGGTTTTAAGTATTTCGTCCGATACGCAGACTTTTACTCCCTCGGTACGAGTCGAAAGCACGGGCGTACAATTGTGTACAAGATATATGTATTACACGTGATTTGCGACCCGATCGATGAACATTCATTTCACCAAAAGTATTATTCTACGAATAAAATAAATACGAAAGCAATAATTGAGAGCTCACTTGTCAAGTGTCAAACGAAAAAGGCCTCGTCGTAACGCTGCGGCCGTAATTACAAACTCAGTTTAAATTTAATGAGAAATCGCCGACTATGTACCTGAAACTTCAATTATTATAAGTTAGCTTAGATGTAGTGTTAGCTCTTAAATCTAGAATTGTAACGTTGTCGCTAGGTTTAAACAGGGTCTAAGACTTCACATCTAGGGCATGTCGTCGAGTCGGTTTGAATTTCGCTGTTGTCTAGCTTCCCGTGGTTTTATTTACTGTTCTATTATTCTCCCGGTGAACGTACAAAACACACGATACCCGGAATCAAGCCGTATGTACAGTTGTATTATAGCTAGATTAAGGTGTAAATTTTCTTTCGACGCTATTTTGTACATTCACTTCCACAAGTTCACTCGAGGTTGTGTCTATAATTATTGTTTACAAGCTTTTTTTATATTGTGTATTATTTTTATCGCCACTTTATATACTGACCCTACACTAAATTGTCGTTTCCCCTTGCAATAAAATTACCTGAGTAATGTACAATGTCGGTAGCCGCTAAGTATTATAGTGCGGTGAGCGACGGAACCCGAACGACGTTTGTATTATATCAATATAATAATATTCGTCGCTGATCGTACCCGACCCGTAATTGCACCGACTCATTTTGCACTAGACATTATTTCCGTTGAATTGTACAGATTTTTTATTCTCAATTTACAAGATGGCTTTTCCGTCCTGGAAACATTTTTCAAATGAAAGCCTGATATATGTGCCTCGATAAGTTTAAACTCGTTTTCCAATAATTTAGTTAACGTAAAGGCACTTTATTCTGTCGTTTGAGCGACAGATGGCGCGATTATACATTGGCCGGTTCAAACGTTTCTGCCCTTTATACTGGCGTATAAGGACGTCAGATCTAAAATCTTCATCTCTGAGATATTATGTGAATTGACGTGACCGGCACGAACATCATTGTTCATTCTTTGACTTTGACATTTATCCGTTCAACGTTCACGGGTAACTCATTCCACTGTTTACAATAGCAATTTTTGTTACTGCACATTCCATTCTGACTGCAATAGTTATCTCATTACAGATTTTTAAAGATTATATTATTAGGTATTTAACGTTACAGAATAACTGAGAACAAGTACACAGAACGCGTTTATAAGTTTTATAATGAGATGGATGATCGCTTTCCAATGCTACAACAAAGTGAACATAGATTATATTGGTTTTTCTTATAGTTATTCAAAAACTATAAGTACTTCTTGTTTTTTAAGTCCCTTAGAAAAATACCCAAACGCAAAATAATTTGCACTGTTTTATACGATATTTCTTGGCCCAAAGATACAAAAGCGCGTTCCGTGTTTGTTTTGCAACCCATAGTCTAAGCTAGTATTGTTACTGTATAGTATGACATAACCAATATATAAGATGTATATGTTAATGAGAAACACCCACTTTCCATGTTTTGTTTTATACCAAATAGTGTTACTATGGAATTCATAGACTAATATATTATGATTTTTTTTCTGACCGAGTTTAATGTGTTGTTATGCTTTTGCTAATAGTTTGACCACATTTAGGCACGGCAAAGTAACCTATAATTTTAACACCACACCGATGTAGTTTGTACTATCTATTCGCTGCGTAAACGCTTAGAAATCCAACGAACCAACAAAGAAAAATATTGTTAAAGAATATTACATTATATTTCCGGCTATTTCTTATCCCGTAGTTAAATAACTGCTGTGTCTACGCGTTGTATAAATTCGCTTGAATGTCGGCGTCGAGTGTAGTCCCCATGTACTTACGAAACGCGTCCAACAAACGCAGGGCTTTATTTATATGTCTAGTTGTACTGACGCTCGCATTCGCTTAAATGTGTTGTTCTTTTTATTTGGTGTCGAGAAGATTTGGCGGTGCCGTCGCGAAGCGTTCCCTGCAACCCACGTTGACCGATAATATAAAGCACATTGTCAAAAAAATTAACCAAGCTACAGATTCTTCAATTTTGCCCTCGTGTATTCAAATAATTTGAAAGGAACGTTTCGCACTGACGCGCATATTGGGATTGAGATGTTGTTGTATATTATACATAATTATTAATAAGTGGGACAAGCCCGCGTTTTAACGTTCTGTGAATTGAAACATTTTGATTCGCCCGTTTTCTCCTAATGCATGAATTACTCTCTATCACATGTCGTACGTAGGAAATGCGAGCAATCAAAATGTTTATATTCATTCTAATATTTAAGATTTTGTCGAATCGTAATGTGGGAACATGCAGTCGTAAGCGGCTCGGACCAATGTTTAAGATGTTCAAATGATAGACGTTGTTAATGGATTTCCAAATTATTAATTTACTCGACATATGACTATAGTGAATAGTAAAGTTATTGCAACAAGATATTTCGGTCGTGTTCCCACAAAACAAAATTAGTCGATAAAACAATTGAATCTACCTCAACCAAATTACCAATTAACGTTGTTTGTAAGTGTTCTATTGGGTATAATTACTAATATTAACTGATTCGTAGTGTTTTTTTTTGTAATAAAATGGATATTTGTTCGTCTAGCCATTTTGATACGGCGACTTTTGTTGCCGACATATTGAATGTGTCTCGCGAGATGTTGCGACGGAATGTCACGATTGAACGATTAAAATTGAAATCTTTCGATGTTTTTTTTTCTATCATATCCTAACTAGGTGTATCTTAGATTCATATTTCACTTACTGTTACAAAGATTGATTGCAATTAAAGTATGGGTTTCAAACAATTGAATCTCGTGTTCACTGTTTATTTCGTAATTGTACAAGCAGACTCTGTCGGCACAGCCTGGAAACTGCACTCTCCTCTTTTCGACGCAACTTCGCCGCGAGACGTGCCAGACTGAACCTGGATCGAGGTCTCTCGCGGCGAGATCCACCTGTAGGTAGAAGCAACAAATTTGTAAAGAATAGAAATATCGGTTATAACATCGATAACCCTCCCCCACTCCGTAGGCCCCACTAAAACGTTCAAAAATAAATTATTTACGAGTATTTCACTTGTTTCATCAGAACTGGGTAAACCCGTGTGACATCTTTAGAGGTTAATTTAGAAAATCTGGATTACCATCGGCGACTCTTTGCCAGGCGTCTCTTTCGACGTTGACCATTCCCGTGGACGCACTACGACCCAAAGCCGTCTCCTGGCTCGAACTCGGACCTTCCGTTGTATCGCTTTCACAACTTACGCGACTGGAACTGATACATTAACTGATGCTATTAAATAATTCTGACGTAGGACAGTTGCCACATGGCATACTATTTCTTATTTCAAATATACTTACCGATCAGCCGGCCGCAAATCACTAGCCGAACTAGTTCCCTCTCTCCGCATAGAGGGCGTCGATGCCAAAAACCTCTCCCTCGCTTCTTTAATCCTGGCCGCTCTCGACGTCATCCTGATTAGAGTATAGGTCTCTTCGACAGCGGAAATCGATCTCAAAAACCCTGGGTTTTCCGCGACAAATTTTGAAAAGTTTGGCACAGACGATTCCGACTGTTGCTTCACAAGAGGCAAAGGTTCATTAGATTGGCCCACCTGTGGGACTACTGTTTCCATACTGGGCGTTGTCTGCCTTATGCTTTCGTGGCTGTCTCCTATGTCACACTGTTCGTTTTGTAAATCAGAGTGTATTGCGTTGGCGCTGTGCGACTTTAGAACTCCGTCGATGTCTTGCGTCTGCATCGGACACTTTTCGGCTGACGTTTGATCTCGGCGAGACAACTGACATGCACTCGCAGACTTTTGAACTTCCCTTTCAAGGAACGGATTGTTCCTGAAAATTAAAAGATATTGTCTGTAGTTTACAGATTGAAATAAAAACACTAACGGTTTAAAACGCGATATATATTAGTTTTTTTGAAAAATATTTTATCTATGGTCCAACGTTTCGGAATTCGGATGCTTTACCGCAGCCGTGGTGACGGGGTCTCTCTTAATAACTTTCAAAATACGTTTGACTGATGTATATCGCGTTTTAAACCGTTAAAGTGTTTTATTTAAGTCAAAAGATATGTGACATACATAAACTTGTGGTTTTGGAAAATCTTTCAAACACTGACCTTATATTAACTCCTACCGGCATATCGGGAGGCCGTCTTCGTTCAGATTTCGGAGATCTCCAAGCGGGTGATGGAGTCCCACTGCTACCCCCGGACGGTGGCCCTGTAGATAGATCAGATGATAACGAATAAGAGATACGAGATAATGAGAAAGAGAAAAGATGACGGATACCAAATGTGTTTTACCTTCTTCATGAATCTTTTGGTTATATCTCTGTATCATGATACGAATGGACGGCGCTGTCTCCTTCGGCGGAGGTTTTCTTTGAGAAGAAGGGGACAATGGTAGGGGAGGCCTGGACTTCGATCTATGAGCGTCTTCCTGTAGATCTCCAGAATCCTTTTCAGAGCCTTTCGAATATAATGATGTTTTCGATTCGTGTTCGGTTTTAGGACTGACAGATTTGATGCGGTTATGCGAAGTGTTGATATCAGGTAAGTCTTCTACATCGAGCGGAATAACAGCTCTTGGGATAGTTTCGCCGCTTCGGACTATTGGAGAAAATATTTTTCGTGTGGTTTTTACTATCACTTCCGGTGATGCGTCGTGGGCTTCTTGGGTTTTAATTTTTAGCACAAAAATCTGCAAGTATATAAATCGCAAATCAACGTGTATTTTAAATCCTGACTATTTTTTAAACCGAATGTTTTTTTTGCAAATGTTATTAGATGACCTGGCAATTAATTACTTACTTCGCCTTCAGAGTCAGAATGATGTGAGGTTGGTGGAGTTTTTGGTCTCTCGGAAGGTCTTCGCGGTCTTTTCTTTCTCCTAGGAATCTCAACAGTGACTGTGTCCACCTCTGGCTCTGTATCACTCTCTGAGGGCTTTGACTGTTCCCTCTCCAGCCTCGCTCTGGACTTAGTTTTCTTCTTGTTTCCGTTGTTCTTATCCGCCTCTTTAGGTCTCTCTCTCGTATCGTCGCTGTCCTTGCCAGTTTTCCCTTCCTTAGAACTATCAATTTGTTTCAAACTTCTCGTGCTCATACTTTTGCTCATCGACGCGTAACATTCAACGTCGCCTTCATGTTTTTCAGATTCCGAATTTACTCTTTCCTTATAGTGTGATGTTCTTTCTATTTCTTCGATGGTTTTTCTAATAAATTTTGCGTCTTCCTCGCGACTACGCTGCCGTGATATCTTTCGTCTCGCAGACTTTTCAATGACCATCGACTGGAAATATAATTTGCATAGCTTTACTTTTTAAAAGTAATATAGTACAACAGTGATAAAGCAGGAATAATAAACATACTTGTTCACGGGTGCTTTTAACTACGGTTTGTTCTTTTGTTTTTGGAGGTCGAGGATCTGAAATCATAACTGTAAAATTGTGATATATTTTTCACTTCAGGAAGCTTAACAAAAAATAGAAAAACTAACCTGATCCATTAGGCTGGACAAAAGCGGTGCCGGTGACAGCAGACGTAGTCTCGCAGAGCAGCCTCGCTTCAGCTGGCCCATAGGTATAGACCGGCTTTTGAGGCGTGTGTCTGGGCGACACGGCCATGAGTGGTGCAGCCGTGCATATCTCCTCGGCCTCCACTTCTACCAACAACGCTTCTCGGCCATTTTCACCGTCCTCATCAGCGTCCAGCTAATCAAAAGGAATTTATTTGCATACATTATTTAAATGTATGCAAATAATTTAAAACAATAATATATACTGCGAAAGTGTCATTTTGTTTTAAAAAATAATAAACCCCCCCACTAAAAATAAATACTTAATTTAGCCTTGTTTGAAATAAAGAACTTAAAATAAAAAAGTACCAAATTTTCCAGATCATCAGCATCGTTGACGCTTAGACTGCTAGCGTGCACTCGGCCCCCGCTCGTGAAGACAGGACCGACACTGCCATCGCTCTGCGTCCTAGTTAGAGCCGAGGGTACTTTGACACGCGCCCGCGCTTCTTGCAATAAAGCAGATGTAGAAGCTTCCGGGGCGATACCGCGAGACTTCTCCCATTCGTGAAGTTTTCTTGTAAACGATCGCGATATACCTGGCGATGGATTGAGAATTTGAGAGCGCACAGATTAAGTCTTGTGTTATTTAAAAAAATTCCAAGAAAATCTAGACCAGTGCATATGCTTGCCTTGGACTAGGTGTTCTTGGATTCTTTGTCCTGTTAAAATGTATGATGGATTAGCGGCTTACCTTGAAATTTAAAAAGACCTGTAGATGTTTGCACTAAGACTTCATCGGGCTTCGCTTCCTCCTCCCAAGACGGAACTGAATTTGTTTCTTTCATACGGGTCCATGCATCTGTAATATTGTTAAGAAATAAAAATTTAAGCATAATTTTATTGTATATCATAGCGAAATAAAGAATTATAATTCTTCGAGCAAGAGAGGAGTTAACATCTCCTGATGATGCCGTCAGAACAGCCCGAAAGACAATGATATGCTGAGCAATGGCCGTGAAAGCCTTACACAATTTATAATTTTATTTATATAAGCTTTTGTTTGCAATAATGTACTGGGCCTGAAAGTAGTTTCCCTCGTGCCCAACTTTAAAAATGTCTCGTCATATATTTAAAAAGTAACTTATAGTTTCAAATACTTTTTTTTGTTTGTTGAGTCAATGTTTTAAAAATTGCGTCTAGATTTTACCCCAGCGCTTCAGAAAGTCCTCGCTCAGATCCTTTCTCGCGGGAATAGGGGGAGGCTGCTTCACCCCTTTCTTTCGCCATTCCGTCAGTTTGTTGTGGTAATCCACTGACAGTTGGTCTTCTGTGGCCACCGGCCGAGGTGCTGCGAACAATATTGTGATAGTCATGAAAGCGAATGAGGAACAAACGTTGGTAAAATTGGAATGGTATGGAAATTATTGTACTATTTTAATAAGTAAAACGACTCAATAACAAAAGGAAAAACTGCTGCATAGAAACTTGAAAACTTGCCTACGCCCACGCATATACAGTCTAGTATGGACATAGACAATAGTAATGACGACAGTTACGTGAAAGCAAATGAGTGGGCGTGTTACATTGCTCCATGTCATGGAGCAATGTAACACTGAGCCTTTGAAGGAGCATAGGGTAGTAGCAAGAAAATAAGCAGATTATATAAGAAGAAATCACCTCGCACAATATTGTCGCTTTTCCCGGGATGTCTGTCGGAAAATTCCCTGCGCAGACGCGACTGCAGCGCTGCATAGTCTTTGGCTATCTCGTCTCTGACGCCGCTCGCTTCGCAACCGCTGCTTATACCCTCTGTATCTGAAAGCCAAGTCACCAAATCAAAATGTCATCTGTGACACTTTCAGTCAAACAAAACTCAAAATTTCTGTTATTCAAATAATACGATTAATCCTGGAATAAAGTTATTATGTAGTCAAGTACAAATAAAATCGACAGAAAAAAATGTAATATGTCTGCACTTAACGATAAATAAATAATCAAAGTCAACTTGTACATACGATATATAATTTCAGGAGGTCCAAAGGGCTGAGGACAAATGCTGGTTAATTTTATCCTATTCTTTGTGTTGGTAGTAGGGTTTTATGCGTACGTAAGTATTCAAAGGATCGTTAGGTAATTAGGAAGTGACAAAGCAGGCCTATCGATTAAGCCTTCAGCGCTAGTATCAGGCGTCAAGATTACCTACGTATTTTTAAATCACAAGCACTAACAAAGCAATTAAAACTTACGTTTTCTTTTCTTTTTTGTAATAAATGAAATTAAAACCAAATTTATTCTAATACTCTAAAGTCTAGCGAAAAGATACAAGATAATGTTACAGCTCAATCACAACACTGAGTTCACGGCCACGGCGTGCGCGATCCGCCAGATTTGGTCTGGCAACTGTCGTCTGTCGTGTCGCCAGAGCCAGTACAGCGGCTACAGCGGCCTGAGCGGTTTGCAGACCTCGAGCGACGAGACGCCGGGCACCAGCCAGGCGAGGCCCGCTTGCGTCTGCGACACTTGCCCGTGCGCACTCATCGATAACGTACTCAGGTCATTTAGACATTCCTTAATAAATGTAGATAGTAACGAACTTAGTAAAGAAAGCTCAGAAACTTGCCTAACATCACTTGTATTAGCCTCGGAACCACTTAAAAGATAAATCTTGTTTCAGTACTTGTCGCCCGTTCACGAATGCCTACTACGAAGCATTAGGATTTGTGTCCGAGTATACGTGCTACGTCATGTCCGTGGTGAAGACAAACATATTTTAACAGTAGCTTTTGTTAGCTATTAATTTATTAATTCTTCGAGCAATCGAGGAGTTAACATCTGATGATGCCGTCCACACGCGATGGCGAAACGTCGAGATCCTCTTCTCGCTCACGCCGGCCGTACAGCCCGAAAGACTGATATGCTGAACGATGGCCGTGAAAGCCTTACACGATTTAGTAGCTTTTGTTGTTAAGTATATTATATGTTATAACATTGTGAGATCGCGGTTCTATTATCTTTACAGTTAACAGACTGCAATCAGTACTTCTCTCGTGTGGTGGATTGCGGAACATCGTGTCAAAGACAGGCACAGGTACGCTCTACTTTCTTATGTCACACATACTCCCTAGTAATTATTTTTATGAATTAAGGCTTATCAACCAAATACTTAAACATGCACAGCTTGCTAATTTATAACACAGTAACTAACACACATAAGAAAAAATTAAATATAACGATTTACACATATTTTAATGTTTAGCTCGCCACAAAACAGTTCGACTCCTCGCAAAATTTAAACTTCGGGTCACAAGATAAGGAAGAAAAGAAATCAAACGGCAAAGTCAAAGCCATGAAATCCTTGATCCTCCGCCGGAAATCCGTCGCTGAAAGTAGGGCGCCCTCTATCGACGAGACGGCGACGCCAAAGAATAGAAGCCTAAGTGGCGCGTCCAAGGCAGATAACGGCGAGGAATCTAGCTCCAAGCCAGGTAAAAGTTGCTCAAAGTGTATTGAAAAAGGTTTCACTTGTATGAAAAATTGTCCGCGGGCAAAAAAGAAATGAAAACTGTGAACCGCGAACTATAAAAAGAAGAAACATAATGTTACAGGGAACAATCCTATTAAGTATTTAATAATAAAGTTTTTGTAATCAAGCCGTTTTCGTTTATTTTATTTGTACGTTATCAAATGCTGGATATTTTGCTATCCATCTAATTTTAGGTATGAGCTTTAAGTTAGATTCGAAATTGACGGCACTTTTAGGCTACTCGGGGTCAGCTTTCTTGAGAAAGGTTTTTTTATGCCAAGAGGCGCCGCTTTTAGTCCTACACATTTTAAATATTCATATAACTCATCAATAACAATAAATAAAAGTAAATATTTTGCAGCGAAATAAAACATACCACCTCGATTTCGTCCAAGACTCGAAGTTTGCAGCCATCAATGAGAAGTCAGTTTTAGTACGGAATGGCTTTTTTATTCGTCTAATGCATTCTAAAATACATTTCGCATCACTCCATCGCTTTTTATTTGCGTTTTGAGTCTACGTCTTGTAAAATATAGGAATTAATTAGTTAAACTACTCGTATTTAAGTATATCCATTATCCTTATATATTAGGCTGCTAGAGGCAGAGTTGCCTAATTACAAAAAAAAATGATTTAATCTACACGAAGTTAACATTTTTAGACTAGAAAAATATAAATAATTCAAGTAATTAAATAGCCGTTAGGCTACCCTGACTCCAGCGGCCTCATATAGTATTTCCTTTAATAAATGCCTAATATATTAAAAGTGACAGCACTGTCTTAAGGATGTTGATGATGATATTTAGTTTTTTTGAGACCGCACAAATGACACAATCTCCTCTTTTCTACCTTTTTTGACGCAATTTATACACGCCCGCACAAAATATACCAATGACATATATTCCAACATTATCTGTCTATAGTTTACGCGAGTAGTACACATTTAAATAAAACACTTTAACGGTTTAAAACGCGATATATTAGTTTATAAACTAATATATCGCGTTTTAAACCGTTAAAGTGTTTTATTTAAACATTATCTGTGTTAATGAGATATACGTGTATATTATAGATTATGATATATATAGTCTGTTTATACCTTTCAATCAAAATGTGTCTGTACTACAAGTTTGACTTTGATCATGTAATTAAATCGAAGTATAAAGTCGTCTAAATTAAATTTTTACTTCGATTTCAAATCTAAATTCAAGTTGGAAATGGAAAGATGCATAGTACAGGGTAAGAAGTATTTGTATCCTTAATAACACAAATCTCATAAAAAAGGTAAGCAGATACTTCACTTTTGGGAATACACGTATCGTCGTTTCTCGTTTGCGACAATAATGTTAAGTAATGATATTTCTTTGCATGTTTCCAGATGGCGTGGACTCACTTTTCAGCCTAGTAAAACCGCTTATGTTCATTGTTATAGGGATATTTGTTTTGGTAATTTCTCTGCTGTATACTAAGTATATAAGCCTTATTTTATTTATAATATCTAACATGCAATTAAAATTTTAGTACTTGCCCCTCGGAGACCCTCAAAACAAGTGCTGTTCGCGACCAATGGCGATGGAAGTACAAGAGAACAGCGATGTTGTGTGCAATTTTTACTTAGCTTCCGTTAGGTAATAACATATTTTTTAAATAATGTCTTTTTATTTTATTGCTTGAGATTGAAAATAGAAATATTTTTTACAGATTTGTCCATAAATTACTTGAATATGTTGAATTCGCTATAACTCTGATAATCGACATACTTTATGAAGCAAAACTAAAAGTAAGTGTAAACTAAATTCGTGGTTGAATTTAATTGCAATAGATTTTCATATCACATATATATAAATGAAAATTCTCGCCGTAATTCATAGTCACACATGCGGAGTTGAAGGAGATAGATGTGGTGGAGAAACTGTGAGTGTGTAAACTGGCATTCAATTATCTTTAAAATCAATTTAATTAACCGGACATTAGGCCTCTTTGCCCTAAGATTCGAAATATATACCTCGTGTTCTGAACGCAACTTCGGCAACGCGTTTCAAATCTGAGTGGCGGAGGAAGAAGAATTATTGTTGTATTAAAAACAATCAATTTTCAGTTCTACGCATTCCTAGAGGAATTCGACAGTAAGGACCTATGCAGATCGGTTTGCTGTTATGATGGCGTTAGTAACGTGTATATAACTTGTATTCTATTATCTATTGACAGAAAACTACTGATATTTTAGAAATTTAGGTACAATTAGGACAACTTCTGAACCAAAAGTTTATTTTGTAGCACACTTGAAAATAATAAGACATTTTGTTCATATAGAAAGACAATATTCGGAATATAAAATAATTCATTTTAACGTTACATTCTAGTATAAAAGCTATTGTCTTTATTAGTCGTCTTAAGTAACTTTTTCCTATTATAGAATACAGTGATGTGCCTAATGTTATAGGATTCTGCAGAAAAGGTTGTCAAGAGGGAACGGCGTAGCTCCTGCAAGTGTGTCAAATCTCGGTGCAGTAGGAAGAAGTTTCGACAAAGTCTTGTTTCGTAATCTTAGCATTCAATACGATTGGAGATTAAATAACATCTAAAAATAAATAAATTGTTCAAGTCCACGATGTTGTAAAGTATCGTTAACGTTATAATTTTATATATGAGACGCAAATAAATATCATATTTTACTTTCAAGTTTTACTTGTACTTAGTTAGGTAAAGCAATAACATGGAAACTGATTCAAGCGTTCTCTGCTTTAGAATCGTAAAAGCTATTAATCAATCTGAACAAACAGAAAAATCTTTTTCCGATCCAAATTTAGTATCCTAAAAAACAATTTAAGAAAAACGTCCAAAATGTATGTTTATTGCGAGGTTCTAAGAAGACAAGTTTTTTCATCGATCTGAAAATTGAACTTCTCGTTTACACAACGTATACGAATCTGTTTGAATGTAGTAACCGCTTAACCTTCAATTTCTGTTTTCCGTCAATCAACTAAGCTCATAATAAAATAAATTTGGATCTTTTTAGTACCTACGCTCTGATAACAAAACATTTATTTTTTTACTTATACTTAAATGTGTTATACTATCTTATCTCAAAATAAGGTTAATAATGGTCTTTTTATACCATTAGCCATAGATATTGTCTATCCCACAAGCGTTGGATTTACTTGATGGAAATCCCATTCATGTCTTGGCTTGCCCTGGAAGGTGGAATGCCACAGCCGATAACATCTAAACGAGATGTGCGGTCGACCTATTTTGGGTATTCTGGAATATGCCAAAGAAGAAAGTTCGTTTTTCTATTTAATTAAGAACAAATTTAATGAAAAAACTATTCGAAGAAAGATTGAGAGAACTGCAAAGCTTTTTAAATTTTTATTCAGTTCGGATTCGTATTTTTAAAATGCTAAAGAGAAAAATTGGTTCAGTATATATCGTACGAGGCCCTTCTCCTTTGCTAACTCGGTCAGGGGAGGGCGAATTACATAATCGCACTTCAATAAGCCATAAAGTAGTTTTTACGGTGTTCTTATCGTAAACAAGTGGGCAATCGTTTGATACAGAAATATCGAGTTATTTCTGTTCGACTATTTTCGCGAACACCTCGCGATGCGGTTGGAGAATTCGTTTTATATAATGTCTGCTATCACTTTGGCGAGTACCCGATTGGTTTGACCCGTTTTATTGTCTGGCGATTAGGTTAACGCTCACAGATGTCACTAGCAACAACTAAACGAACTATTAGGGCGACAGATTAAGGACCTTTTTAATAAGTAATAGGGTGTTTTAAGCCTATTTAACTAAATAAGCAAAGCGAAAGGTTTAAAGGGGATACAGTGAGAGATCGATAACCCAAATTCCTCTGTGAAGAGGAAATGGGGAAATGGGTGAATAAGTCACCAGATAGTGTAAACTGATCGCCAGCCTTTTATCGGTGTCCTAAATAAAAATGATAATTACTATATGCATGTTTTTTGAAGGAAACTTAACCTTATAGGTAGCAAATGCTAAAGTGGAAAAAGATGACGTAGATAAAGTTATTGAAGACGAAATCACCCAGAAATTGGGAAATGATCTACTTCAGAGCATAGAGCGGAAATTTCAAGTCGATTTGGAAAGGTAGGTAAGGTTGGCAATTTAATAAACATAGATAATTAGGTACGGAACCCAAATGAACCTTTAAGCATAATAGTATATCGAAGAAGCAGCTTAAAAAGTTGACTAAGACTAAGAAACTATACTTCATATAAAAAATTGTTACACAAACTAATAATAGGTTATCATAAATATAAAAAATCCTGTATTAATCACGAACTATTTTTTAGGTCGGTCGATATGGTGCTAATAAAGATCAAACTTCTGCTGCAGAATGGGACGCAGCACATACAGGAGAGGCTATTGCAACTGCAGAGTTTCACGGAGATGATAAAAAGCCACGGAGAGGAAGAGGTAAGATGAAATTATATTAAATTTGGACGTCGAATAATCAACTCACCGATCACAGTGCGTTAAGTCAGCAGTAAATTAATGCTAAACTAACCTTTCATCGCAGTTATAGTTGGTCTAACTTATATCGCGTAAGATAAATCATTTTGATACTGTCTATAGTTTACGCGAGTAGTACACATTTTTAATAAAAAACTTTAACGGTTTAAAACGCGATATAATAGTTAAACTTATTTGAAAATGATTTTAACTTCGGCCCGACGTTTCGGATGCTTTGTATCAGCCGTGGTCACGGGGAGACTAACTTACCAGCATTATAAATAAATGACAATGAATTAAAAAAACAAAAACGAAAAAGGTTAGTTAGTTAGTGGTTAACATTTATAAATAAAAAAAGATTTGTATTTTTTTTTAACTTAAAGGTTTTTATTTTTAGGTGACCAAGTGCTTGACACAGAAGCAAAACGACACGTCCGCCCTAGCAGAGAAAGCCCTTCATCAGATGGTTGTATGTGGATACGCGCTGATAGGACAGGATCCAGGAAAGGCAGTCAGAACTGTCTCTGCTCTGAAGACCATGATCACGGACGGTGTAAAACCAGTAAGAAATCAAATATATAGAAAACAAGTATGTAGAAGTAGAATAATTGAACATAAAATACACAAATTATATTATAAAAAAACACAAGATTTTTATACTGCAATTAAATTAGTTTACTTAAATCTACCGCTATTTACAAATTAAGGAAAATATATATGCCAAAGAAAGACAAAAAAAAGTAAAATTAATGTAGATTTCTTTTTAAAAAATTCTACAAAGATACGATGAGAAGCATTTTCCTTCTCAAAACTTTCACCACAACGAACGCTCCTCTCTAGTGTGGACGGACGAAATGACAGATAAAAATAGCGGAACATCTTTTGAAGTGTTATTCAATTAACCTGGCACATGTTAAAGAGGCAACAACGCATAACTTTCAGATAAATGAACAAAAGAACGAGATTTACGGCCTGCTGAGAGCGTGCGGACACGACCACGACTCGCTGAAGAAGGTCGTCAAATGCGTCATATCCAAGGTGCCGGTTTCGTTTCAGTTTGTAGGCCATAGCTGGGACTGGGTTAGGGTGTTAGGAAGTTTGAACTTTTTCTTGATTTTAACTATTTGTTTTTCTTCGTAGACTAAAAGACATTAAGTAATGTATAGTAATGATTTTCGTGGATTGTATTAAATGTAAATTAAAACACTTTTTACGGTTTAACTTTAAACGCGAAATATATTAAGTTAATTTATTTTTATTTTTGGATGCTTTGCAATAGTACGTAACCGTAGTTCAATTCAATCCAAAATAAGTTAACTAATATTTTTCGCGGTTTAAACCGTTAAAAGTATTTTATTTAAATGCTAGTCTCATACGGTATCATAATATGTGCCAGTATTTTACTAGCATAATATATTCTTTCTAATTCTACTTAATATTTCTTTAACGTTCCTAATACCTATTTTTTATATTTTCGATTGAGACCTCTTTCTATTTCTCTTCTTTATTTACAAAATGCATCTTCATTGGTTATCTGCGATACTAACCAGAATCAGTTATAAAACGGGAGCACGTTACGAGGCGAAGTGAAAAATTTGGAAACTTTCAACGACCATGACTCATATCCGCCTGTTACGTGCTAAATATTATCGTACACATTTCATCGTGTAACAAATCAAAGGAATAATTAATTATAACATCATAATATAAATTGCGCGTCTCGTCTCTTATTCACCTTCGGACTTCCGCTCGCGAATATTCTTTAGCGAATTCAATAGTACTGAAGAACATTTTTACTTTACCTAACAGAAATGTTTATTTGGGTTCTTAGTGAAATCCGTAAAACGAAGTTATTTGTTTTCAGTCACCTCTAATCAAATCAACGATGATGGAAATAACGGGGAAGCTAGTAGAAGGTGTGGTAGATTTGACTAAACAAATGGCGCACGGAGCGATGCATGAAGCCTGTCTCATAGAAGTCATAAAAACTATTGAAGACGAAGCGATGGATCTTATTCATTCAGTCAGAGACTGCGCATTCCAAAACATTACCTTCATTGAGTTTGATAACTACATAGCCGATAACAATGCGACCGTTCTTGATATTGAAAGAAAGAAAAGTGGTAATGCAACCGATGGGAATGATATGCAAACAATGTTAAGAGGAATTATGGAAAAGGATAATACGAAAGATTTTGATAGCCTCAATGTTAGGCTTAAGGAACTCCACGAGGATCTTAATAATATTGATAATGATTTTTTTACGAATAATGATAATAAAAAAGAGTAACGAAGTTGGGAACTAAAATAAAGGGGCGTTTTAACTTTTAAAAGCAGTTATATGTTTCAATTCCAATTATTACACGCAATTTTTTGTATTATTGCATCTTCCTTAAAAAATACAAAATTAATTAGAGAGTATGATTGAAGTTAGCTTTGATATGAGTTTGATGGTGTAAAATTTACTTAAGTTTGATTTCTATTTTGAGAAAAACGTGTTATTTGCATCCGTATGCGGATACACTACAATTATATCATTTTTATTCAGAATTTTATCAAACAGTGTTTGTCAGAATGGGACTGAGCTTAGGCAGAAGCAGAACCAATAAAAATTTATAGAGCCTAATATCCGTAAAGGAAAGCAATAGGACATAATATAACAGATTATAACACTTCGCTTGTCATCTGGCAGCGTCCATTACGCGTTGGCTTAGCGCCAGTAGACAAAAAATGAATTACGCGCTTGCGCAGATAGGTCGTTCACCTTTTGTTTTACTATGTTTTAACTGGTGGGGCGTCTGTCTTCTTCATTCTTAAGTAACACTATTTTACTATATATCATCTCCTCCTCTTATATCAAGGAGGTATTTAATATCTCTTTTCTTCAAATTTCCGAAAAAAATATAGCTCGTTACGGCTGCTGCATTCGAAAGAGGAGTATTTAAAACTTAGTAGGCCGATATGTTTCGCTTTTATATTAAGATTTGATTTAGGTTTCAAGAACATTTGACCAGAAATAAACAATCGCTGCCCTCTACATTGTAGCTCCATTTCAATGTAACAGTGAATTCAATAATTTTCCCTCATAAAACCGGATAAAATATACGTGGGCTAACTCAAAATATTCCTGAAACTCAGTAACGTGATCCACGTGCAAACAATTCAATTTACATTGTATTTTATATTCGCAGCTGTCGGCTCTACGGCTAGAAATGGCTATATATTATTAAGCTGATATATTTAGTGTATCGCTAATGATTATATCCGTAAATTATTTTCATAATAGTACTTATTATAATAATGATCATATTGAAGCCAAAATAGTATGCATTGATGTTTTTCAAACTCTTCCATCGAAAGTGCCAGAAACGAGGAAAAACCCATTGCATATTTGAGAGTGTGAATTTAATAACGTTGTTATCATTCCGCCGTTTAACGACACGCCTGTTTTCATCTAGCCAATGTTTATTTACGTACCTTTATGGAAACGGAATCTTCAATTTCTAAACAAAAGTATGAGAATGTGGGCTAGCCACTGCAAAAAGAAGGGTTAGAAATTATTATTGTAACAATGTAATTTTCTTGTTTTACTAAGACAGAAAATGAACAAAAAACAATCTACTCTCAATGCTCCTCCGTTTATCGGATTTACTCCCGAATTATATAACTATTGTTATGGCGTGTCAGCCTATATCGTAATTGGGAATAAAGGGCCGCCCATATAATTGTTAAAAACCAAGGGGGTATACACTTACGTCACCACGTAGAACACTGATTTTACGAAAAGTAAAATTACTCTTTAAAACGCACTAGACTCGCGGAAACTATTTTAATACGCGGATGTTAACAGCTTAATTCTTAATGGCAGTCACATATACTGTTAATTGAAAACTGTGCACAAACTGCTCACAAGCGGTACCCAAAAGCGTCTAACACCGCACTCATGTCTTTCGGCTTTCGCATCGAAAAAGAAAACTAAACTACCCCCGAAATTTATTTTATTCTGAAGAAACTTTGGTTCTTTAAAATCATTGGCTAATAAATGTGTTTTTTTTTTGTCATAAGGGTGGCTGTAATTAAACAGGTTTTTAAGCTCGAATGTGCCTCGGTGGTATATAAAAACGATACACATGTAACCTCGTTTCCAAGAAAAGCAGTTATTATAAGTTAAGCGTAAGAGTTGTTTGCGGTTTTTTAATAGCACCATAATGTGTTTGTTTATGAGATATTTCGGTAGCGTTACTCAGTGGGCTTAAGTGGGATCTAGTAACGAATCGGTTTCCAATGTTCGTCATGAGAAGCCTTGGCATCGATAATACTAATCAAATACGTATTATATTTAGTTTATTATTTTGTAATCGACGCGAAAATAGCCGCGCTTTATATCGCTGGCCTTTGCGACCACGTTACGATATTAAATTTTTGAAATACTTTTTAATTTAAATAAAAAAGTACTTTAAGATTGTTAGTAATTATTGTTATTTTAATTGTAAACTATAAAACCTATTACTAACCTGGATCGGTGAAGAAAGCTGAATGTCTACTCGGACTGGAAGGTACAGAAGCAGATGCTGAATTGGTGAGGAAGGCTCGCTTCACGCGACTCCATTTGGAGTCTCTGGGCGGGCGGTGCTGCGGTGGGCGGGCGCCTAGTTCTAATGATCGCTGTTTGCGCAGGAGTGGGTGGGCGCCCTCGGATTCTGATTGTATAAAATAGTTTATGAAGAAAGATATACTTATGTGTAATTGTCCTTGAAATTAAAAATCGAAAATAAATTGAAAAAAATTTCGGGCAGGACTTGAACCGGCATCGTCAGACTTCCGCGCTGTTGCTCTACCAATTGAGCTAATTATACATGCACCTCTTGCGCAATATGATGTATAATACGCAACAATACGTTGAAAAAAATCGACGATGAGATGTAGGACTCGGTAACTCAATTGGTAGAGCAACAGCACGGAACGCTGTAAATTTTTTTCAATTTATTTATATAGTAAATATTAAAGTTATCAGAACTTTAACTCAATCTAATTGGACTGTCTTTTTTTTGAATTTGACAATCTCAACGTTTTTTTTTGTTATAAGTTTATTCTTTAACTTTTTCTCATTTTGTATTTGAAACCAATTTAAATAACAGACACTGTCTAAAGTTTACGCGACTAATACATATTTAAATAAAACACTTTAACGGTTTAAAACGCGATATATTAAATACTGTCTATAGTTTACGCGAGTAGTACACATTTAAATAAAACACTTTAACGGTTTAAAACGCGATATATTAGTTAAACTTATTTGAAAAAGATTTCTAACTTCGGCCCGACGTTTCGGATGCTTTGCAGCAGCCGTGGTCACGGGGAGACCAAAGATGGAAGATGTCTCTGACGTCAAAGTAAAAAATTGCTACATTAGCGCCATCTGTTCCTTCGAAGTTGGTATTTGGCGAAACTGGCCGGGTCTTTACAGAATTGACTAACGGTGTCTTCGCATTTGCCAATAAACAGCATACTGGCAACCGTTAAAGTGTTTTATTTGAATAACAGATCTTCAATATATTGTTTAGCGGTAAATGAAGATGTAAAAATAAACTTAACATAGAAATGCTGTATATTTATTGTATATAGTTGTTAAAATTATAAATTAGGCCGTACTCTGTATCTTAAAGTATAACTCTTAGAGTTCTTGTATCATCATAATAATATTAACAGTGCATTGATGAGTCTCACCAAGTTCTTCAGACGAAGGTATAGTCAGCGTCAACGCTGGTGGCGCGTCACTATCACCTCCATCACTGAAGGACCGTCTCCTTCCTGGCACCAGGTCTGGGGATTTCGGAGCTCGTTTTTTCTTTACAGACTCTCTGTGCGTCTGAATGATATTCCTCATTTTGCCCCAACGACTCTTGTGCAGCTTGTTTGGGGATGGCGACGTGGAACTATCGTCCTGGTGGTATGATTATAGTTATGGTGTGTACTACTAACTAGTAATGTTACCTAAAGTAATTTTCAGACTATTTTGCTAAGTAGAACTACTTTGACGGCTAAAATCGTGAAATATGTTACTTAAAAATACCTGCGTCGGCGCATGCAGGTACGAGTTGTCAATATCATCTAATCTAAGTATTACGCTCTTACTGTTGATTCCTGCGAACAAAAACCTTATTAATATTTATACGTACTATATTTTTCCTAGAATTGTTTATAGAAGCGAACACTGATAACTTTGTTCTAATAAGTATAGAAAATAATCTAATTGTGTTTCTTTTTTCTCAAATCGTCAAAATAACTCTAAAGAAAAACTTTTTTTTAGTCTGTAGTATTTTTTATAATATGGTTGTTCTTCTAATACTAGGAAATAATGCGTTTCCTTTGACTGTCGACGCTTCGTTGCATTGTAGTTCCTTTTCTAATATTCTTAAGAAAAACACTTTATTTTCGAGTTTGTATGGAATATTATATTTTATACCTGAATCTAGTCTTAGTTCTTCACACGAGGAATTAGGGGTTAAGGACATAGCGCTCCCCGGAGTCAAGCTCGCGGAGTCTCTGGGTTCCGGGTTGGGCAAGCCCGCTAAAGATGGAGAGGTTCCAGTCAGAGCTACAGCGCCGACCATGGCGCCGGCCGACACAGCTGCAACGCCACCGATACTTGAACTTGGCCATTGAGCTTTCTCCCATCTGAAGATCATCATATTTTAGTTAAAAGAATTCAGAGTGGATTTTTAGATATATCAAGCACATAGCTAAATTATGTTCATTTACTAACATTACCTACTTATCTTAATTAAGTTTTCTAAGACTTTTAGCGTCCCAAATAAATAAGTTTAAATTGAAATAGCACGCGTCAATCTACTCCCCATTTCATATCCAGTTTTCGAGACGAAATGTTTCCGAAAAACTACCATTGCTTAGAAAGCTGTTGGACCTGGTAGCAGAGAGAACCCGTAATACGTCTACTGAGAGGCAAAATTTAGAGATATAATCATAATAATTAGGATACATTGAACTCACTTAAAAGCCGCCTTAACTCTAGTCCAGTTGGACACTTTAGATTTCTCTACTTGTTTCGAGAAGACGCCGTCAGACCGCCTTCTTAGCGGCATCCCCAAAGGCACATCTGTGTCCTCCCCTCCTGCAGACCTCGACCGCTGTTTCCTAAGCAGAGAACCACCAAACTTCCCGTGTCCCTTCCACTTTGACCCGGACCGTTTCATCGTTCTTCCCAAAATGGTATCAAACAGTGTACCATAATCTAAGCCCGCGTCCAACGCCTCATTTATCACTTCGATCTCCTTGGATTCCTCTTTTAGCATTTCATTTTCCCTGCTTATGTTCTTATACGCGTTGTGTAGTCGTTTCAAACTGTTGACATCGTTTAGTCGCCTTAAAATCTTGTTATTTTTCTCTTTTAGGTGGACGAATTGGTCTAGCAATTGTAATAGTTTCTCCAGGTGGTCGAGGGCATCTAATGTGTCTTTAGTTTTTTGCGCTATCTCTTTCCCTCGATTGGATGCGGGATCGTCTTTGTCCTTGAGTCTCTGAAGCATACGGTCGCAAATGTTGTCGACTTCCGTATCGTCCGGAATACCCCAAGATTCTTCTGGAGTCGGACCTGCGGTGCACGGTGATGAACCTTCGGCGTCCGAGGGCGTCTGCGGAGACTTAACGGTCAGAGTAGCCGGTGGTTCGCCTCTCCGTCGCTTGTGCAAAGAGGTCCCGGTCGGTGGGAGCTCAGCTAAATCCTTCTGTTCCTTTTCTATCTTGACTCTATCATCTTTCACATTTATGACGTCACTGCTTTCTCTCGGCGACGTCATAGCGGATGTCTACGGCTATTTATAAAAGAAACGCATGTGTGCGTTCGCACAGTGGGCAGGGCCCTAATGGAATGTATCGTTGTATGCAGCTATTCATAAAACCTGCTAAGATGCAGTTCTCTATTGCAAATACGTTACCGGAGGTATGTGGGAATAGAATCACTAGTTAAATCTAGCCACAATACTAAAGTTTCACACGCACACGCTAATAACATTTGATGTAAGGAATTCAATCACTATTTTACACTTTCTACACGAGCGTTGGAATATTTTAAACTTTTATACATAGAGATAAGATAATAAATTAGAAAACTTAAATAAATAAAGTATAATATTATTACTTTTACATAGATAAAAGGTACAATGTAAAGGCAGAGCGGTTCCCGCCCAAGCGCGCGCGCATTTCGTAAGGCGGGCGGCCCGTAGCACTAGTGCGCGGATACTACCGAATATTTCCGAAGTATTTTTAAACGAAATTTCCTCACTGGCAGACGCATGGAAAAATGGCGCTTATTGCCGAGTGTAGAGAGAGCGGTAATGATGTGATATTATCGGTATTATTTATACGTACTTTCTTAATTCTTCCGAGCTGAAATCCCATTAACCTACATTTTTAAAATGGAAATAAATGAGCGTGTTATGTTTCTGTCTCGTTTGAGTTTTGTTTACATGTTTCATCGCTCCAGTAATAACGGTTAATGAATGCACTTACTTTCTTAGTTTTTAAAATAATCAATTACTCTTTAAATAGGTCTTTGTCTTTATCGATACACTCAATAAATATATATGTATATTAAAAAAATATATATTGTCTCTTACCTTTACTATTAACATTTTTTTACTTAATTGATATATTTTATATATTATGCATAATGCACAATAATAACACATTCTACTAACCTAACTTAAGTACCTACAAACAACAACAGAATAATACCTATATTCAGACTAAAAAGGATAAAGAATTTTCATTAACAAACCTTTTTGAAAAGCTACTACTGGCCTAAAACTCAGATTTCGAATTTTCAAAAAGAATAATCAATTGTAAAAAAGAAAATTTGTGATGACTGACATCACAAGTTTTCGTTCGTTTTAGATTATTTTGTATTTCTTTATTTTTTTTTACTTTTTATGTAAAATTTATAGAAAGTAATTAACAAATAATGCTTTGGCGCCCATCGTTTAATTTTTGGTGAGTTATATAAATTATATTTAAGTTCTTGTTGTAGTTGAGAGTAAGTTAAGATATATATGGTAATAAATACATACAAAAGAAAAATTAATAAGAATATTATATTATAACATAATGTAATGTACGGTTGAAAATGTTTGCTTCTAAGATGTCTATTGAGGCAATACGTCCGTGAAGTATTGTAGTATGAAGTGACGGTGTGTCAGGTAAAGTCGGGGGCTGCAGCGGCAGAATGGAGTCGGACGACGAGAAAGAGAGGAAGATCAACGATGACGTGGTGACGTTCCTTCGCAAGCGGAGCGACCACGACGGGCCGCGCTACGCCGCTCGGATCAAGACGTATCTGGAGATTAATCGAAGGTGAGACTTATTTTCCACTGCAGGAAATCGGCTCTCTAATAAGGGTAAAGCGAGTGGGTAAAATGTGAATTAGATAGTATTTCTTGGTTCCGATGCCACACCATTAGAGCTCGGCAAAGCAGGAAAAGAAGTGCCCATCCTACCATCGTTCACGGTCATGTATTTTACACTTAACTAATTTTCTCCTCTAACGAAATACGCTATTCGTATCACAAAGACAGATAACGATCGATACACATTTGAAAATAATATGGACAAACAGGTTTAATATTTAAAAATCAAGTGGTTAACTTCCGACTTACGTACCTACCTACAAATTTTGTTGCGTGTCACTCGGAATCGCAATGAAAATAATAATGGAGAGCGTTGGTGTCGGTAACCTTACGTCACCACGTAGTACACTGATTTTACACTCGCGGAAACTATTAAAATGATAACTAAGTAGTCTCTCCAACACTCCAAAGAAGTCACGTATAAAAATGACAAAAGTGAATAACAAGCTCGCGCGAGGCACCCAAAACGCGTTAGACAGCGCGCTTACCTCGTTTGGCCGCCGTATCGAAAAAACTAAACTACCCCCACTTATAATTTTTTAATTCCGAACACTATTATAAAGTTAATGTGTTGAATACGCCTTTTTTGAGTCTTAATTTATAAAATAAAGACAAAAATGTAATGATTCAATAGCAAAATAATAATTACGGCCTGAGGGCACCGTTAGTACAGACTATGACAATACAAAAAAATTTAAAAAAACCTGAAATGTTTTTTTGTTCATAATATTGTCATTCAATTCCGCATTCAAGTTTACTTCTGAAAAACCTTTGAGTTTTTTTTTTTTAATAATACATAACAAGTCATATTCAGACGCCGTCGCGCGAACGAGGCACGTCGCAACTCCGAAAAGGAAAAGGCAAAACAGAAGAACGGCGATGCCGAACAGAAGGATAAGAATGGGGAGAACACGTAAGTTGCCAAGTACTGTACTGTACTGTACACACACAGTACCTCAGCACTATTGTAAATTTCTTGACGAGTATAAATATGAGACATCTTGGACTCTCCCAACGTTTCTCCTGCTTAACACAATGCACTGGTAGAATTTGTCTGGATCTTTGATTATTACTATGGCACAATGCGTTCACTAGCAAGTAACTATTATCTGCCTAAATGCTATTTCATTCAGAGTTAGTTTTTACTGAAGAATATAAATATTTCAATGTTTACTATAGTTATTTCAATAATATTTCTATTTGTAGTGATTACACAAACAACGAAAACGACCGGATGAGTAAAAGGTATGTACCGTTCTATCTTGGCCTTATTTATATTTAGACAAAAGAAGGTAAATACTGAGACAAAACATCTGTAACAAAAAACCATTTAGTGCTTCTTTACTTATCTATAAATCTGAAGAGTTTGAACGCACTAATCTCAACAACTGATAGAATTGACGCACTATCACCATTTTTTTTACTATAATATTAATTTGCAAACAATAAAAACGTTTGCCGAAACAACTAGTTTAAAGATTAGAAGAATTTAACACCGCTATAATTTGTTTGCTTTTTACTTATTTTAATTCGTTAGTAAAAAATGTCCAATACTATTTTTGGATTCGTGGAAAGTTACGCAAACATCTTGGTACGGCCATAGACACGGACACGATAGTAGTAATTGCATGCAATAAATTCGATAATATTATAGGCCTTGACTTACTTATTCGATTAACGGGTAGCTAACTATAATTACGTTTTTTTTTTTAACTTAAATGTTGAAACGGATTTCGTTAGGCCTTAGACAATTTTATCATTGTAGAGCTTGTTTTCAGTACATTTTACGAGCGTAATATATATAATCATGGTTTAATCCATCAATATTTTAATAGTATAAGAAAAACACTCTAGCCTTTTCCATTAACTCTTAGCATAACTTCCTCGAAGATTAGAGTCTTCGAGGAGTTGAATCACGATGACATAAATTTCTGTTTTTTTTTTGCTTGTTGTCTGTCTGAAAGTTATTTATTGATTGACACCATTTTTTTACATATTTAAAGTTTAAGTTACATAAGTAACGGTGATAAAATGTCGACAGTCCTCAATTTAACAAATAAAATAACAATAAATTATCTGGGTCAGAAGTATAATCAACATAGAATCCATTGTCTAAGCTCAATCAATCAAAAAAATAATCTTCAAATCACAATCAATACTATTCTTAACGCAGTATTTATTTGAGTGAGAGCCAAAAGAACCTAAAATAAAAATTGAGTTGCTTACACGTTAGTGGTTATTGCTATGATCTTTTTAGCAGGAGCCGGCGCGGCGAGAAATGCATGCACCGCAGTCGTTCAGGCTCCCAAGGGCACATGGAGCCAGCTGATGGCTGCTGTAGCAGGAAACGACGTCGGAGATCGCGTGTAAGATTTAGAGGGATTTACAAAGTATATTACGACTTGTATGAAACTAGGTTAGCCTATTATAGCCACATTACGCCCCAATATTTAATGAGTGTATTGAACAACTTTGCTATGAAAAAGAGATGCATGCAAAGAGACGTATGTTATATGAAATATATATTTATAAGCAAATCTGATACATTGTTTACAACATGTAATCAGACACTTAATGCACGTTCTTTTTTTATTCTACGTTTTGTCTAGAAAGCAAATGTGGAAAATTTTGATGCGTAAAAAGTTTGATGATTAACAACACATTTGCGCATAACGTGGATATTATTCTTTTCTTTCGAAAAACATGATTATCATATTATAAAAATTAAATAGAAGCTTCATCAAATCTTGTCTTGTCTATTCAAAGGTCATTGGGAGGTTCTTTTTATTTACTTGAATGTTATATAATAGTTCGGTTTCAGTGTCGACGGCGGCGCCGCAGCCGCCGCAGCCGCCGCAGCCGCCGCAGACGCCGACGAAGCTGCAGCCGACGCCGTCGACGACGTAGACGAAGCTGCAGCCGCCGCAGGCGCAGAAGGAGCTGTCGCCGACGAAGACGCAAGCGCCGTCGCCGCAGACGCTGCTGACCTGACTGAACGTCTTGTTTCTGTCGACCCTGATCTTTGAAGTGCTTTAATTGTTTTTAATAAATTTATGATGTCAATCGCATTATTTAATTGACACTTTATCGGTGAGGGACGCATCAGAGAACGTGGAGTCAAAGTGAAGCCAAGGCGAGCGTAAAGCCAGGATTCGACATGGCTTGGCTGAAATTGGAGGATATTTTAGCAAGTAGAAAACTAGGATAAAGATTGTCTTGCAATAATTGTGATAGACGTGATCGCAGTATTTTGTATTTATTTTTCAATGTGTGCATTCAAAATTTATTTAAACAATTCGATTGCCAACGCCAAAAAGGTTTCATAATAAAGTCTACAATAATGGTCATCATTTGTGGCCTTGAGCAAAAATCGATCGAGTGGCACAATTGGTAGATCGTTTAATGAATTTCTTTAAAATATTTATATGAAATGAAATTAAATGAGAGATATAGAAAAAATACTCATTTAAGCACAAAATAATTGAGCATAGGAACGATATATTGAGCATTATTCAAACCTAAAAATATTATTTGTCAAACGTTGATCATAATTTCATTTAGACTTTTTCTCTTGAGATCAGGGACGGTGGCCTCGGGGTGAGGTCTGCCCACTGGGAGTAGGAGTTCCAGTCTCTCATTACTGGGCCTCGAGAGAAGATTTTGTAGACGCGCGTTGCAGTTCAGAGGCGTGGACGTCAAAGCTACTAGGCCGCAATACTGCAAGGGAAAATATCAATAAACAACCACAAGAATAACTAAAGTGGAATTAAATAAAACATTTTAACGGTTTAAAACGCAATATTATTAGTTAAACTTATTTGAAAATTATTTTAACTACGGCCCGACGTTTCGGATACTTTTCAGCGGCCGTGGTCACGGGGAGAATACATAGCGTTTTTAACTGTTAATGTTTTATTTAAATGTGCACTACTCGCGTAAACTACAAACACAAATAAGTTAATTTAATATAATTATTTAACTTAACTGTAGAAACTGATTTAATGACACGGTTTTATAACAATAATATTTATACATAAGGGCAAAGGTTGTGTGTTTAAATCTTTTGTCATCTTTATTGCACACTTAGGTACTGTATACAAAGAAAATGACAATTAACCACGTTTGCGATTAAAGCTGCAGCTATTTTATAAATCATTTAATAAAAGAGAATAAGCACCTGAATAGCTGTCAGTAAAATACCGGCAGCGATGGCAACACTAATCTCATTGTAGTAGTGCATTCGTTTCTTTCCGTCATTACGCAAGGAATACGTCTGTCTGAACACCAAAATCAGAGCTGGTGCGTCACAGAGGTAGGGTTTAGTGGCGTCCGTGGCGAATGGCTTTAAATCTGCCACCCACTGTCTAGACATTCGTCTAGCATAGTTTAGATCTTCTTCTTCTTCCACAATACTCCTTATGGCTGCTTTGATGTCAGGATCTTGCACTACGACGAAGGTCCAAGGTTCTGTGTGCGCACCGGACGGTGCGGTTCCTAGGAAAAACATTTTTTTTCAAATATTTGTACAATCTTTTAAAAAATAAACAGAAAATAGCGCCAATCTGTATGATCTGTCTGATTGACAAGAAATTATATTATTTTATTTGACAATTTAGGTATTGCATTTCCATGATCATGGTTATATATTAAAACATGTATATAAAATGGAGAACCGATTTCAAGAGAAAAGCGGTTATTCCTTTCTGTATTATAATTGTAATAATTGTATTGATATCAATCGAAAAGAAATCGTATAGTTTTGACGAAAAATCCTGGTACGAGGACGATAATGTATCCCAGAAAATGTCACTGGACACTGAAAATGTGGATATAGATCAAATATTAAGATTGAAAGAACTCGTAAGCGACGTAAATACGAAGCAAAAGATACATCATAAACATATTTATATCGCCAATGTAACATTGTTCATAGTGATACAGGTACACGACAGAGCTTTCTACTTGGAACATCTTCTGCAGTCTTTGGAGAGAGCGAAGGGCGTTTCCAAATGCATGATAATATTTTCGCACGATTACTTCGATAACGACACCGCCGCAATTGTTCAGAACACTTACTTTACCAAATACATGCAGATTTTCTATCCTTATAACATTCAAATGCACCCTAACGTTTTCCCTGGACAAGATTTCAAATTCTGTTCGAAAAGTATGCTAAATTGTGAAGCCAATGTAAAACGCAGGGACGCTGATAAGGCTCAATTAAAGCATCGTTGGTGGTGGACCGTCAGTACAGTCTTCGATAAACTGAAAGCAACCAGAGACTACGATGGAAATTTTATATTTCTAGAAGAAGATCAGTATGTCACTGAAGACATTATATTCATTGTAAAGCTTGCTGAAAAAATGTTGCCTCAGATATTTCCTAACTTCGATGTGATCGCTCTCGGGCCACGCCGTCCCAAAATACGAGATTATCACAGCAACGATACGCGACTTGATATAGAGCCTTGGGGCTTCAATGAGAACATTGCCGTCACTTTTAATAGATCGTTTTGGAACAGAATAAAGAAGCTGGGCAATTATTTTTGCAGTTTCAACGACTACAGTTGGAGTAATTCCCTCACACACATAAGCAAATACGCAGACGAGGGAAAATTTCTCGTGGCGGCCGTGAAAAGTGCACGAGTTTTTCGCTTCGAGATTTGCCAATATAGCGACGATACCTACTGCCACGAGGTTGAGAAAGTTATCGGTGTCCAGAAATTCGTTAAGAAAGTGAAGAAGTATTTATATCCTCCCAGCGTATCGTATGCAGTTTATGACAAAGTGAAACCTCGGATCAAAATCCTTGGTGGGTGGGAAGACGTAAGGGATTACGAGCTTTGCATGTTTTATACGAGTAAAATTCAAACTGATTTATAACTAAGTTGTCGTATCAACGTGTGTTTTTTCTAATAGCATTATGTACCTTATTTTTTAACCTTGTGGATACGCAAATTCTGTGTACTACTAGAAAAAAACGTCTTCGTTATCATTTTAATTAAGTGAATAAACGAGATATCGCGTGAGAAAGTCGCGTTTGATTTAAGAACGATTTGCAATGCCAAACCAGCTCTAATAATACTCAGTAATTTTTTTACTTAATTATTATTATTTTTTTAACGTAATGAAGTTCAGAATATCTACTAGCTAAAGACCAACAAAAGCGACTGTCATTTATATATAATATGAAATTAATAATACATACCTGCTGTCTTAACGATGTTGTCTAAGACCTCCTGAGGGATGGGCTCGGTGCTAAAGCTCCTCACGGTGCGTCTGGTGGCCATCAGATCGTAATATTCTCTGGATCTCTTGATAATTTCTTCAGACGACCTTCTGATTGCTTTAAAAGGCACGTGGGGCGTGTCTTCTGGGATAGCTGAAATGAGATAATCGGGGTCGTCTTCATCGTCGGGCCTGTCGCGTTCTGAAAAATTACAAGGGAAATGTAAATAAAACCTTGACCGGACCAGAGTAGTTAGCGTAGTAGTATTTAAAAAGAAGAAGTATTTCTATTACTGAAAATTTGGTTGTTTGTTTGTATTTCTATTACTGAAAACACATTATCAGGACGCCAGAGTTTGCACATATAATCTGACTGCGACTTGATTAAATATCATCTTAGTTAAGTCTTAGGATCGAGCCACCAAAATGTTTTATTTTTTCGTTTTTAATCTTTCGTAATTAATCTCACGTTCAAATGTTGTAAATCAATAACTGAATTTGTTCTGTACGTAACTTTATTCACTAATGTATTGTTTGACATACATTATCAGTTATTAGTTAGGTTTCTAGATATTCGAAGCGCTTCGAATTAGGATATCTTAATCTACCAAATTATTAAAAACAACAACATCATAGTACATTAATACATGTTTGTATGACTAAGTGATTAGTAATTACGTTACCGAGTTGTCCTGTTCCTTATCTATTTTAGATAGAACTAATGATAAACCGAAATATGCGCATATCACTTTAGAACAACTGTTTAATGACTTTATCTAACGATGTTCCTATTTTTACATTAGTAGGATGGTATATATGTTATTAATTTGAAATGTATATTTAACTAGAAAATCTTCTTACTGAAAGCGATTTACTTAACACACGTTCTAGTGTCTTGCGTTTGAAACCTTGCGTTTTAAAGCCAAATCTTCCAGAATGATCATCTAATCTGTCTGTATAAGAAATTTTTACAGTAAATATATAAATAACTCATCTAAAAAGAATCCAGCAATAAAATGCTAACAATCCTTATGTTGTGATAACAATATCCGGATTTGAATACATAACAATTTATATAATGGATTTATATTCTCTCAGATAATATTTTTATTCTGTGTCATCGTTGTTATATTAAAGGGACAAAAGAAATTATGTATTGCCTTTATAACAAGTTATGGATCAAAGGCTTATAGACCTAGACTCAAATATTAGATTACGACACGTCCGACCCTTATACAACTCGTTAGGAATTGAATTGATCTAATTAAAGTACTTTAAAGACCGTACTGTTTTTCCATAGATTTCCGATAGTAGGTCGAGTTGAAAGGAATTTAGCAAAAATGACGTACCTATTCTCATGACGTCAGGATTGTCTAAACGAGTTCCATGATGTTGAGCGTTATTAAAATAATAATAGAAAAACAAAAGTTTGACGTCATTTAATGCGTCATAATGCCTTGATGGTTTAGTGGTCGACCTATAATTTTGGTTCTTTAAACCTTTAAAAGAAGGCATTACGCAAATACGCAATTAAGCTTCACGGCTTTTTCATCTGTGGACGGTGGTTCGTGACCCGGACGGAATTTTAATATTCCTTCCACCCATTTAATATCCAGGTTTCCAGACGAAGTCCGGCATGTTTCGAACATAGGAGACATGTTGAACCCGGTGGAGCCACACGGTGGATTAGCCAGACATCGCTACTACGACCGACGCGCCCGTCAACATTATAATTATTGTGCTCACTTCACTAGACCATTTGATTTAAGGCGAATCTTTGCTTTCAACAAAAATATTGCTTGACCTATCGCAAAAATAGGCTAAGCGATTGAAAACAATTTAGATAACAACAAGCCATTTATTTACCCATGCTAGGAATAGAAAAACAAAATTAAACAATCCATACAAATATTAATGATGTTAACAATACTGTAGTTGATTTATTTTTATTCTTTTTAATTTAAAAAAAAATTGTGTTTTCTAATGCCGTGCGAATGCCGGTTCGAGCCCTGGCCGTCGTAATTTTTCATTCTCTATTATTAAGAGCTCATTGCATTTATATATAATACATTAACCACGAAAATTAAATAAAATGTTTATTTAACTTAACTGCGCCTCCGAAATAAAGATTAGAGCGGCCTCGCTGTTTCCACTTACGTCTGGTACAAGCGCATTGTTACTTCATCGAGGCATTTGCAACACGAATTAATTATGTTGCATCCATATTCATTACATTCCCTTCGAGGAACGAACCTTAGCAAGTGACCTTTGCTAAGTGTACTGGATTAAAATGCGTCTTTATTAATGTTTGAAGCTAAAGTTAGCTTGCGTCAATCGATTATAACCAAACTAAGGTTTTATGACCCAACCCCTCCAACTACAAACCGGTATAAGTGAGATAAACGAAAACGAACAAAATATATTGACATCCTCGTCGCTTAGGCATATACTATGTCGTCTTATTTTAGTAACTTCGCTATCGTTTTGTAATTAAAACCTGGACTAGAGGTCTTGGTTTAGCATCATAAAGCTGTTTTTTATGGAGAATGAGTCTTACGTTCTATATGATGTAGTTACTCGTATCTTGTTTTGTAGCGTGAAGTTGTTATTATTAAAACGTCCTGAATGGTAGAAATTATTTCTGTCTGTTTATCGCCTAAATCAGGTCACTAGATAACTTACTCCGTTTCTTTAGTTGATAACGACTAACGAGATTGTACTTCGGGCAAATGAATAATTATATACGCAATAACTAACTACTTCTTATATGTATTTTCCTTTTTTAACATTGTTGGGACACAATTTTAAGTAACATATTACGATAGTATATATAGTATGACTGTGACATCAAGGGCTGCTGTTTCTCTAGAATATACAAGTGAAAGCGTCGTCAAAATCAGTTTATGCCCTAGTTTCCACAAGTCTAATCCTACGACCTCTTGCGGCATATTAACCACAAAGCCATTTAGGTATAATCGTACAGACAGGGTTTTGAGAACCGGTTTTCTTAAAACTGTGTAAAGAAACGAATTACGAATTAATTTAATAAAAAAGGCTTGTAGTGATTATAAAAGATTAGTTGTGTATCGCACACAGCTGTAATATTTATCATTATAGAAGTTAAAAAACATTGCTTTTATTCCAGGAACTAATATAGCAAATAACATACGTATGGGCGAAACTTCTTATATAGCAAGACCGTTATTTTAATTATGTGTTTTATGAGACGCATTGTATTCATTTGATGGAAGGTCAAATACTGCCATATAACATGCAAAAATGATGCCCTACTGACCTATTTGGGCTTTTGATATTCGGAAATCCACCGACTGAAGTCGTGTTTAATTGCGTCATTTTCATCTGTGGACGGTGGTTCGTGACCCAAACGGAATTACGACATTATGTTGCAGAAAAATTAAAAAATTGATAAGAACCACCCCCCCTGCTATGAGACAAACGAGCACGTTAAATTGTGTTTATGATAAAAACTTAGGACATAGGTAGATCAGTGGAGACGTGACAATGATTATTAATTTATAACATACAGTGAGACGTGAATAACGTTCCATCTAAGGGCTAGATTAATTTAAAATAGATTTAAGAGTTCACTGTCAAAGTCAAGCTGTCTTTTAGCGGCCGATAGATACACCGTCTCTGGTGAAATCGATCTGCAAAGCCAGAACTCGCCACTCAGCTGCAACAGCTACAACATACTAGTTTTTGCTAAATGTCAAATGGCCAGGAACCTGTTCGGCTATTTATGGAGATTTCTTTAGTTTCTTCATGTGCATAGCAGCGTTTCGAGTTGAAGAATTCATTCTTCGTTGGAGGATAATAAATAGATAAATTTGCACACCATTTGTGATTTCGAAGACAGAAATTATATTATTAATTATTGTAATATTCTAAGATCGTTTCTTTGATATTTCAGATTTAGTAGTCGTTTTCGTCGTATACAGCGCTTAAAAGTAAAAGTAACAATGATTAGTTATTTTTAAACGGATTCTCGATCATCTATTTTTGTCTGATTTTATTTGGAATTATTTTTTTTATATAATACATAGCTATGGTATATTGTATCACGAAAAATACGCTAAAATAAAAAATGAAAAATGCGTATAAGCCAAGGTCATTTGTTTCACAGTACAGCAAGTGCTCGTACTGCCATTGAAATCGAACAGATAGAAATCACAATTCTCACATAAGACGTAAATAAAACGCGAAGTAAAACACGCACAATGCCTTTTGCTAATATTTGCGTTGCGCGATCGTTGCCGAGGCACTCACGCGATCAGTTTATGCGAATTTCAATTTCCGCGTGGTTTCCTACAGCCATGAGGATAAAGCATAATGGTTTAGATAAACTATCATCTCGTATTTTATTTTATTTACATGATACGGTAAATATATATGGCTAGCAGATTATAGCTATGCTAACTGATCGATCCTTTCTTCGTGATTAGTTTTAGTTAACGTGATCTAAGTAGCATTGTAATATTAACGATTAATAAAACGACAATAGGCTAAGTCATTTTTGAAACTATTTAATAATTATATGTAATATGTGTTGTTTAACTGTTTTGTACTCTCTACTATATGTATATTGCAGCAATTAATTACTGGCTGAATAAAAATACATAAATGTAGTAATATTACAATAACAATTATATTTTTAATTGAATTTTTCATGATTTATACTTTTGTACAATGTTAGATGTAGCTTATTAAAATACACCCACCTCTCCGTTCCGTATAAGAATTTGGCGCAACTTTCTTGGTAACGCCAATTCTATTTTCGCATGCCTGCAGTCTATTCTTATGGAACACACTGAGAGCTATAAAACATGCCGCCAAAACACTATACACGATAAAACAATGGCTCTCCAACGCCCAAACAGTGACAGATATGGGGTTCATTTCGCGCGCTTTTTAGTCAAATGTCACCCAATTTTTTTTTAAATTCGAAATAAGAAGGGCACTACATAGATTGATCTGATGACAGTTACTACAGATAATTAATTGCAGTTATTTACAAGTAAACGCGCGATAAACAATTATTTTTCTAGACATGTGCACGTTATCAATTCGCGCGGTACACTAGCAAGACAGTATAGTCAGTTTATTGCGCGAAGCTCATCTACAATCGTGTATAATTTAATTACAGACTATATTTAACATTATTTCGTCTGTTATAAGGTAGATTATGCAGAGTCCGTTAAGTATCTATGTTTTTATTACATACTATTACTTGGCCTTGACATGAATGTCTCGCTAATGATTTATATAGGCCGAAGCAAGATGATCCAGAACCTAGACTATTACTACTCCAGTAGCCCCAGTACTCCGGTATCAGTCGTAGCCTCTTGGTTTATATAGTGGCAATTTACAAGTACTAAATTCTATAAGGAGTTATAGGGCCAATTTATTTGGACACGTAAAGCTTTAGATACGTCCGTAAGTACACTTACGTCGAACAGCTAAAAACAAAACACATTTTAATAGAAATATAAAGGTAATTATTAACGGAATAATTATATCTCAAATTTAGGTTAAACATATAATTATTCATTAGAAAGTAGGTTCCGTTATGAATAAATAATAAGGATGTAGAAAATATTTTAATCGGTAATGTAATAAAATAATATATTTACTAATGATTTATAAAAATAAATTCAAACAATTCGATTGAACTAAATTGTATACGAAACTCTTGGTCTGGGATAAAACAGGATTTTTTACTATGCAGCAATTTATATTTATTTATTATAATCATAACTGATACGTATTATTTTGTCTAGCCTATATATTATTATGTCTAATTGCAATATCCTGGTATTGAAAGAGTAAAATGTTGTTTGAAAATTTCAAGTAGGTACTTTTAGTTTAATTACAATCCAATTATATTAATGTGAAGACAAAATATATTATTTCACAATTTCTTTACAACAGTTCTCCTTACTTCTTATCACAACAGATAAAATAAAGGTGCATTATTAAACGGTTGTTGCTGTTGTTGTGACCGACACCGAGATTACCCTTAACAACAAGTATTAGCCAATTCGTCATGAAGACATTTTGCTCAACTATTTTTTTCAGGCGTAAACAATTTTTTGTTAGTGTTACAATTTTAAACAATGAAATCTAATTGGACTGTACCAACAATTGTAATAGTTCGAAATAGGGGCTATAATTCATTCTATTTTATTTTATATATTCTCTGTAAGTAATTAGGATACGTCAAAGTACTGACACAACTTTGTTAGTACTATACTGAGAGATTTAACAGAATATTCTATGATTTATAATTATTTTATTAGATTATAAGTCAATTGTTATTTCAATTTATCTGCTAAATAAAACTACCAAAATTCTTTAGTAGCAATTTGTATTAATGTCTTCCAGTTTTGTACTTACCTAAGTAGTAGGTAATGAACTATATTCCATATGTACAAGAAATTGAGGCCTTAAAAAACAGACTAAAATATTTCACGCAAAAACTTACTCGTGTTACAGTTTTTATTCGATTCGAATGTTTAAGTTTAATTCATAGATCAGTACTGTCCGGCGTTTTTGTTAAGTGCGTTTATAGTGAAGTAAAAAAGTCTTTGACGTAATTTCATTTCATTTTCGTTATTTCATTAATACAAGGAGAGAATGCTTCGGGGAATCCTTGGTCAAAAAGTAACGCTCCATCACACAATTATGTTTTAACAAAGTGTTCTCTTTTATATAGACCAACTAACAGCATATCAATATTTCAACGAACAGATACTAACATGGGCTAATGGCCTATGTACTGGGACCTATTACATTATAATCGAACTATTAAATTAAATATGAGTAAGAGTCAAGAATAGTTACTTTTTTGTGATGCATTGAACAATGCGGCTTGCGTCAGAAAATGTCATCTTAACATTATTTATTCTGTTTTCATTTGGAAATTTTACTTAATGCATATTATGTCAAGGGGATTCCAATATCAATTAATAATATACTGCTTAAAACGAGGACTATGTATTGAGTATAATTTCCCAATTCTTCTTATCATGTAAAACATTTAATTACGTTTTGTTAAAAGCTCTTATAAATTAATGAAACACATTTATCCTTGTATCGAATTAAGCACAGACAACAGAGTTAACTTAAAAAATACTGTTCAAGCTTGTGATGTCGCAATGATCATCTCCTGAGCGTGCTTTGTGAGCATTCTTAGTCCTCAGTACATGAAGTCATGTTTACTTGATAATATAATTTTTTATTTAATTAAATGTAAAAATAATTAACATAGCTCTTAGTATACAATGTTATAGCTGTTAGAATTCAGCAACAGAATACTAAACAGAGCCGTATTCAGTTGTGGGGATCCTATGTGGACCGGAAAAAATGTGTCGCTGATCGATTTAACTTACAGGCAAGTATTGACTTTCGTATCGAACGCAAATAAACGATTTGTGACCTAGAGCCCTGTTAATTAACCAATCGTTTAGGCCATGATGTGTCAATAACATGTACTTAGTTTTAATAGGTAATAAAGGTGGATAATACTATTACTTTTTTAGATCCTTTGAACATGGCTTATAAAAAACTTATGTTTTTAATAAAAGATTTTTAACCGGTTAAAACGTGAAATTAGTTAACTTATTTACAAATTATTTTAACCTCGGACTGCTTCGCATGCTTCGCAGCAGCAGTGCTCACGAAGGCCTGACGGTGGAGGGTGTCCCTAATATCTAAGTCAAATCTTTTAAGCAGTTTTGACTTTACTCCTCGCGTAAACCCCAGATTATATTTATTGACCTAATACCTTGAAAGCTACGTGGCCCTATAACATAAAGTATTTTGGGGCCCCAAGTAATTATTCAGTTCACACCTGGTTTTATCGTTGTATTTACGTGACCCGCAACACCTCCAGTGTTCCGACATAAATTCACACTTGCCCGTGAATTAGCCGTCGTAATGAAGCGAAAAATATTTTCAATCTCCATTGTCTGTATTGACGTCTTCTAAGTATATTTAAAGCATTGTCACTTAGTTTCTAATTTTCTCGGGTCGAAAATTAAATGTGTCAATACTTTAGTTTTTCGAGTTTTTTTTTGAGTCGGAGCAAAAACAGATTGGGGTGTTAAAGATCAGACTTTAGGTAAATTACCATACACTGTGGCAGGTGTTTTCATTGCAAAAAAGGCAATATTTAGAAAAAGTCGTATAGTCAGTCAGTCTTTTTTCTTTTTCTTACGTAAAGTTAATCATTTTTGTTTTAAAGGTTCCTGACTAGACTACGAAGTAAAAAGTTTATATGATATAACCTTGTATATATTTGTGTTAGAACTTCCAGTTCTTAATATCAAAGTAAAAACTCTTAAAAGTGATTTAACATTTAATCGGTGGTTCTTGATACTGAACTACGAGGTACACGTGGAAAGATGCTTCTTTGTGTTCAAAGTCAAAGTCAAAAATAAAAAGGTTCCGTTGAACTCTTTTACAAATTACAGTAATCTTAATGTTTTTGCCGAAGCAGGTTTCAAACGCTGTCTGCCGATGAGGAAAATCCTATTACCCCTACGGAGGGCATAAACAGGACATCTGTGCCCTACTACTCTTAGACCTGAATTCGGAATTTCTTTGGTATTTAGGACCATTATGTTATGATGGTCAAAGTCTACTTCTACCTTCCATTATAAACAAATTACGCTTACGAAACGTATGGTCAATATTTAACTGCCACTGTTGTAGTTATTTGGTGTCTAAACAGATCAACCGTTGTATGTAATTAGGCTAAAACGACAATCGAATGTTGAGAACAAACTAATCTTACACTTGTATGCTGATAACATTATGTATATGTCGAACATAAAGTTTTCAATGATTCCCTAATAGGATATTTATTGTGATAAAAGTTGTTTTATTGGCTGTACCGCTAAAGTAGGGTAATAAAAACTTAATAAGATGGACGATGACATATCGTATACAGTATTGCTTATACTTTACCTGCGTAGTACACATTTTATAGGTTTAAAAGACACAATATATATGTAAACTTATTTTTAATGTATTTAAACTATGGCACGACATTTCGGATGCTTTGCAGCGGCCGTGATCTGCAAATAGTCCTCGCTATACGACAATAAATCTATTCGTCCGTCGTACACATATGAATGTTACCTCTTTTAACAGTTTAAAGCGAGAAATATATCAGTTAACTTATTTTTAACTACCACCCGGACCAGGTGAGCGAAACATGGAACTAATGCGTGTCAAGTTCGTTCGAAGTGTTTCAATTAGTAAATAGTTTAGTGCAACTTGACCTTAGACAATAATACAAATTGCGTAAATGGTTATTAATTAGATACGTGATATTTTGGTGTTTTTGTTGACATACCGAGAAATTATTTTTGCGTCATTCACATTCGGGCAATAAACGGAATAGAGTATGTTATGTTGTATGTTATTCCGGTTAATGAATAAATTAGAATATTCCAAAGGCATATACATTCATACGTCAACGTTAAAACGTAAGATCCAAGTCCGTAATTATGTCATGATTATCTGTTTTTATACCTTTAAAGGTTTACAAAGTTAATGATATCCACCAACCATATTAAGTTTCTAATGAAGACGTTATTACATTACTTAGAACTCGAAGAATTAAAAGAATAATAACATAGATGAGAAGTGTGAACGCTCCGTATCGAGCAAATTTATATACCTTGTTTGGTACCGGCGTTTTTTTATAAGATTAATTTTAAAAGTAATATTTCTACACATTAGGCCAATTCAATAACAAAGATCAGCCATTGTTTTAGATAAGACTGTAAGTGGGAGGTGACAAACAGGTTAAAACACCTTTTAAGAATTCGAGCATCCGGCATATATGACAATAGCTCGCTAATTCTTTTTAAATAATATATTATCATCAA